GAGTTGGGGGGCCAGAGCCGAATGCCTGTCCCACGGATGGAGACTGACACCGAATGGGCTAATGACTGTCACAGCCCGGGGACGGGGAAAGTGTGGGTGCGGTCAGGAAACACCCCCTTGTCACCCCCGGGTTCCAGGGTCCTGTGGCGCCTGCATACCCCCCCACTCCTTCCCGCTGAGAGACAGAGGCAGAGACAGAGAGAGACAGAGAGAGAGGCAGAGACAGAGAGAGAGACAGAGGCAGAGACAGAGGCAGAGACAGGCAGAGACAGAGGCAGAGACAGAGACAGAGGCAGAGACAGAAACAGAGCGTGTCGTAGCGGTGCCGGCACCGAGCTGTCCGGCACCGGGGAGGCCGGCGCGGCGGACCGGACTCGGATGCGGCTCATTCGGTGCGAGTTTCAGCGGCAACTTTGTCTCCGCGCCTCGGCGGCCTGGGCTCCCGGTCCGAACGCAAACCGCCCCCGCCCGCCGGGGTGCCGGCCCGACCGCGGCAGCGGAGCCCGGTGCCGGGTCCGGGCCGCAGTGGCGCCGCAGCTCCGGCCGCCGCAGGTGGGACCGGCCGGCCGGGGAGGCCGCCGCCCCCGCCCCGCGCCCGTGCAGCGCCGCGGGGCCCGCAGGTCCGGGAGCCGGCCCGCGCCGCCGCCGCGAACCACAACTTCGCGGAGCGAGCGAGGCCCGCGCCGGCGCCGTGGGTCCCCGACCCCGTCCCGGTCCCGGTCCCCGGCCGAGCCCCGCCGGAGCCCGGAGCCCGGAGCCCGGAGCCCGGAGCCCGGAGCCCGCGCGGCGCCCAGACAAAGGCGCGGCGCCGGGGACGGAGCCCGCCTCGGCCCGCAGGGGGCGCCGTGCCGGGCCGCGCTTACCTTTGAGGGTCGGGCCGAGCCGCTCCAGGGCCATGGTCCCGGCGGCGGCGGCGGCGGCGCTCACGGCCCGGCTGGCAGGCGGCCCCGCGCCGAGCCCATCGCGGCCGCCGGGCGGCCTCCTCGCGGGCGGCGCTCAGGGCCCGCCGTCCCCGCCCGCCGCCGCCCCCCGACGGGCGCCGCCTCCGGCCTCCCGGCGCCCCGTCCCATCGACCGGCCCGGAGCCGCGCGGCGCGGGCGCAGGCACAGCCCCGAGCGGGCCCGCTCCGTGGCGGCGGCGGGGAGCCCGGCGCATTTAAGCGGGGAGCGAGCGCCGCGTGCCGGCCGCCCCGCAGGCCCCGCCCCGCCCGCGCCCTCGCGGCCAATCGGAGGCTCCGCTCCGCCCGCCCGCCAGGCCCCGCCCCACCCGCCAGGCCCGCCCCGCCCCGCGCCCTCGCGGCCAATCGGAGGCCCCGCCCCGCCCGCCAGGCCCGCCCCGCCCGCGCCCTCGAGGCCAATCGGAGGCTCCTCCCCGCTCGCCAGGCCCCGCCCGCCCCTCGCCCTCGCAGCCAATCGCCCCGCCCGCCAGCCAGGCCCCGCCCCGCTTCGCCCCTCCCCGCGCCCTCGCGGCCAATCGCCCCCGGAGGGCGGCGCCTCTGACCCGCGGCCGCCAGGCGGGGGCGGGTGGGCGGGGTCGCGGGTCGCCGTCCCCGCCCGGGAGGGGCGGGGCCACCGCCGCGGAGGCCGGCGCCCTGGAGAGCCGCGCGGACGCCTCGGCCTCCCGGGACCTCGGTTCAAGGTCAAAGCGCCCGGCCCGGCCCCGCTCCCACCGGCCCGGCCCGGGGCTGCCGGGGGCCGCCCTGAGCGCCGGGGGCCGCCCTGAGCGGCGGTCCCGTCCCCGGCGGACTGGCCGCCGCCTCGGATGCCAGGCACCGGACCAAGCACTTGCCCTCAGGCGGCCCGGTGGGGGCCGTGGAGGGTGGGGAGCGGAGGCCAGAGGGGCTTTGTCCAGGGCCGCGCGGGAAGGATGGGGGAGGGAACCGAACACCTGTCCCCAGACCTGCCCCCAGCCCCGAGCATTGACCTATGACCCAGGAGGTCACGGGCTCAACCCCCAGTGGGGGGCGTGCAGGAGGCAGCCCATCAGGGATCCCCGCATCACTGATGTTTCTCTCTCCCTCTCCCTTCCTCTCTGAAACCAATAAAAACATATTTTTAAAAAAATCCATAAAGTTGCCGCAAGCAGGGAGGCCTGCACATGCGCTCCGAGCGCACTTCCCGGGTCTAACCCCGTCTGGGGGCAGTGGGAGCTGCTGGGAGCACCCTGCCCCGATGGCCGCACTGAGCCTGGCCTGTGCCTGACACACGGGAGGACTCCAGATGCGCGGGTCCCACCGGGCGTCACTGGGGACCAGGCCGCACGGGAAAGAAACCTCCGGGGTTGTCAGGAGCGCTCTTTCCTCCCCTCCCCCGAGAGGCAAAGCCGTGGGCCTGCCGACCCCGGTGAGCACCAAGGTCTGGAGCCTGTGGCCAGGCCGGAGGCATCCCCCCGCTGTCACACGGAGATGGCGTGATGCAAGAGCCAGCCAGCGGACGGGACGTTCAGGAGCCCCTTCCACAAACACTCAGGTGCCCCCGGGAGACCTCTGAGCGCAGACGAGGGCCGTGGGGCCGTCTGCAGCATGGCAGGCTCTGCAGGCATGGCCGCTGAGGGGAGGGAGGAGGCGTGTGTGATGTCATCCGTGGAGGGGGACACGCTCAGGGGAGGGGCTGGGTGGCAAGGGGAGAGGGGCGAGGAGAGAGGGGAGGATGGTGCTTGGAGGCGGCGGTTCCGGGGCAGAGGTGGGCTCTGTGGGGGGAGGGGGGAACCGGCTGGAAGGACAGGCCGGAGTCCGCCCTCCCCTGAGCAGGAGGCACAGGGTCCCAGGGGAAGGCCCAGGGGCAGGAGAGAGGAGAGCACCCGTAGTAATTTATTCTTAAAAATACATGCCTGTTTATTTCAGGGGGGAAGAGGGAGAGAGAAACGCCCGTGATGAGAGGATTGTGGGCCGGCTGCCTCCTGCAGGCCCCCCACTGGAGATGGAGCCTGCAACGCAGGCCTGTGCCCTGACCGGAATCAAACCCTGACCTCCTGGGTCATAGGCTGAGGCTCAGCCCCGGAGCCCCAAGGCCGTAGTCACTTAACAAGCACACACACAGCGTTTTCGTTCAGCCCCGCAGCTCTTACTGGTGCCGGCGCCATGGAACCTCAGCGGCTCTGCTCTGGCTGGGGAGCAGCCCCCAGAGGAGGTGGGAGGGCTGTGGAGGGTGTGGCTGGGGTGTGGCTGGAAGGGGGTGGAAGGGGGGTGATTGGGAAGGGGGTGGTTGGGAAGGGGGTGGCTGGGAAGGGGAGTGGCTGGGGAGGGGAGTGGCTGGGGAGGGGGTGGCTGGGGAGGGGGTGGCTGGGGAGGGGGGTGACTGGGGAGGGGGGTGACTGGGAGGGGGTGGCTTGGGAGGGGAGTGGCTGGGGAGGGGGTGGCTGGGGAGGGGGGTGGCTGGAAGGGAGGTGGCTGGGAGGGGGGCGGCTGGGGAGGGGGCGGCTGGGGAGGGGGTGGCTGGGAGGGGGTGGCTGGGGAGGGGGTGACTGGGAGGGGGTGGCTGGGGAGGGGGTGGCTGGGAGCAGCCCCCGAGGAGGGGCTGGCGGTCACTGCGGCTCGCAGAGGATACATCTTCCGTGTGGCCGGGAGGGGAGCGTGCGGGGAGCGTGCAGGGACGGGGACGGCACGGCTGTAGCCCAGCCTGCGGAGGCCATATGTTTCGGAGGCCAGAGGCCAGCGTGCACCTGCCTCGCAGCGGGTTCTGGATCCGGCTGCCTTTTCCGGGAGACCACCCAGGAGCGCCCGGTCTGTTCCCGCTACCTGCCAGCGCCCAGGGCAGGCTCGGGGCCTCCTGCCGGCTTCCTGGCCTGGGTCTGGCCCCTGCGGCTCTGAGGCCCGCCCGCCCGCAGCCTGTGGTTCCTCGGACCCATCCTTCCTGCCCCAGCACGGCCGTGCACCGCTGAGTGTTGGACGCTTACACATGTTCACTGGCAGCCATCATGTTAACGGCAGAGGTCCTCCCTTTAGCGCTTCCCGCCCATCAGTGCACGGGTAAAACTTCTCACACAGGTGAAAATACATGTGCAGCTACTGTAGTTTAATTGTTCCTATTTAAAAAAAATATTTTTATTGATGCCAGAGAGAGGAAGACAGGGGGGGGGGAGAGAAGAATCGATGATAAGAGAAAGTCATTGATCAGCTGCCTCCTGCACGCCCCCTACTGAGGATCAAGCCTCCAACCTGGGCAAGCTGTGACCTCCTGCTGTGCGGACTGATGCTGCTGTCTCTGTTTTTGAACTTGACGTGGATAGTATCGTGCTGTATGTATGCTCACGTGTCTTGCCTTCCCACTTAACTTCATGGGATGGACGGGCGTGGTCTGGTGGAGCTGGACATTACGTGTCGCGGCTGCTCAGTATGTCACAGTGTAGCCATCGAAGGCTGGGCACTCTGCCACAGCACAGACAGCCCCCGAATGTCTGCTTACCCATACCCAAGGGTTTTGAACGTGCCATCACCAGCACTAACGAGATATACTCTTTGCTTGTTTACTTCAAGTCCATCTCAAACCGGGGGTAACTATAGGCAGGAGAGATTTGACTAAGCATCGGCCATGCGCCCACGGCCTACGGGGGTGGGACCAGGGCTCGGGCAGGCCTTTCCCGCGGGCCCCAGAGCCGGACTCCCAGCCACCGCGCTGTCTGCCGTCGGCGAGGCCCGGGGGAGGCTGGTAACGTGCCTGAGACTCACAAAAGGGTGTCGTTGGGGTGAGGAGCGAGAGGCAGTCAAGCGGGACAGAGACAGCTGCTCATTTAAATAGTTTATTTACAGCCTTTCCCGCCACCATCATTCCACGACGATCACGAACACGGACACGGAGAGCATGCACCGCCCGCGGGGAGGAGAGAGCCCGGCACAGCGAGGACCTGGCCGCGGGGGCTCGGGGGGCCGGCCCCTCCGCACGCCGGCCGCAGCCCTTCCCCCATCACAAAGGACGCGTCGCCCAGAAACAACCCCCCCTTTCCTGGCCGAGCGGACCAGCGTTCCCTCAATCAGCGGGCGCCGTCCACGCCGCGCCAGGAGGTCACATGGCGTCGAAGTGGAACCGGTGGGCTTCCTGGCGCTTCTCTCTGTCGTCCGCTTTCTGAAAGAGACAGCAGGCCGTTTGCACATGGCAGCGAGCGGCCCCCGCGGCTCGGGTCTGGGAGGCAGGGGTCAGTTTAGAAGAGCAATGAACAGACACAGGCGTGATTCTGGAACCGCCTGTGCCTGGTTTTCAAAGTGGTTTCACAAGGAACGATCTACACTGACTCTATCAGCCAGCCAGAGCCGTTCCTTCAACGCCTCCTTTTAACCGTGTGGTGCTGACCGGAAAGCAGGGGGAACATGAGACTCTGTAAGGACGGGACCAGCGGTTACACTTCCCCACTCCTGCCCCGCCCGATGGTGCCCAGCGCCTCCCAACTGATCACATTAAAGCACGCTAATTGTGTTGGGGTCACCCTTGTGAGTTAGCAGAACTGACTGTTCCCAGCAGAGTACTGTGCTCGGTGCTTCGAGGGATTAAGAAGACCCTCATTTTTGTATTTTGCTCTCAAGGAACTGAAAGCCTAGAGAGAAAAAAGCCAAACACTGAATGGTGTTTCAGAATAAGAAGTGAAAAATGTGCCTGGTGGCTGATGATCAGCCGATGAACCAGGAGGTCAGGGTTCAATTCCAGTCAGGGACGCAGGCCGGGTTGTGGGCTCCATCCCTCAGGTGGGGGAGTGGGGGAGGCGTGCAGGAGGCAGCTGATGGATGATTCTTTCTCATCGTCGATGTTTCTCCCTCCCTCCCTCTCCCTTCCTCTCTGAAGTCAATTTTATATATATATATATATATATATATATATATAAAAATTTTAAAAAAAAAATATTTTATTGATTTTTCACAGAGAGGAAGAGAGGGATAGAGAGTTAGAAACATCGATGAGAGAGAGAATCATTGATCAGCTGCCTCTTGCACACCCCCTACTGGGGATGTGGCCGCAACCAAGGCACATGCCCTTGCCCGGAATCGAACCCGGGACCTTTCAGTCTGCAGGCCGACGCTCTATCCACTGGGTCAAACTGGTCCCGGCTAAAACATATATTTTTAAAGTGGAAAATGCTGCCAGTGAGCTGAGAGGGAGAGGGCTTGGGATGGAGCTGCGGTGCAGAAAAGAAATCCTTCAGGGACCGAAGGAGCCCTTTTGGGAAGCTCTGGCGACCTGCTGGTCGGGCACTCTGTATTCGTGCACACGTGGAAATGGCCTTCATTTGCATCTAACCCGCCATAACCGCTGCCTGGTCCCCGCACTGGCACCGTGTGGAAACCCGCACACTGGGGTCTGCTTTTCATTGGTCGGGGTTACACTGAGGCACAGGAATCACTCAGTGCAGAGGACACGTGACAGGAAGCTGGCACTTCAGCTCCTCGCCCCGGAGCCGGGCGCTGTGAGCCCCTGTGGCTCCGTTCTTCTCAGGGAGAGAAGGGAAGGGGGAGAGAGAGAGAAGGGGAGGAGAGAGAGGGAGGGGGAAGGGGGGAGAGAGAGAGGAGGAGGGGGAGAGAGAGACAGGGGAGGGGGAGAGAGGATGAGGGGGAGAGAGAGAGAAGAAAGGGGGGAGAGAGAGGGGAAAGGGGAGAGAGAGAGAGAGGAGGAGGAGGAGAGAAGGGGAGGGGGGAGAGAGAGGGGGGAGAGGGAGAGAGGGGGGAAGAGGAGAGGGAGAGAGAGAAGGGGGGAGAGAGGGGGGAGAGGGAGAGAGGGGGGAGAGAGAAGGGGGGAGAGAGGGGGGAGAGAGAAGGGGGGAGAGAGAGGGGGGAGAGAGGAGGAGGGAGAGAGAAGGGAGGGAGAGAGAAGGGAGGGGAGAGAAGGGGGGAGAGAGGGGGGGTAGAGGGAGAGAGGGGGGAAGAGGAGAGGGGGAGAGAGAAGGGGGGAGAGGGGGGGGAGAGGGGGAGAGAGAGAGAGAGAGAGAGCGAGCGCGCGCGCTCGAGAGGTGTCGTTCCGTGGAAGGCCTCGGCGGCTCTCCCGGGAAATCATGAACACTCATCAGAAATGATGATCCTTTTTCCAGGCCGCTAGGAAATTGTTTCCAATTTAATTTTCCCATGCACCTGGTGACTCGGGGCCATCACTCTGCCTCTCTACCACAACATCAACATTTTAAAGGAAATCGTCTCCTGTGATTTGTACGACCTGCTGAGACACAGCGCCTTCAGGGGATAAAAGCAAGAACCGATAAGGTGCCCTTATGGCCCTGGCCAGCGCTGCCCGGTGGTTAGAGCATTGGTCCAAGCACCGAAGGGTCGAGGGTTCGGTTCCTGGTCAAGGGCACGTACCGGGGCTGCAGGTTCGATCCCTGGACCTGGTGGGGCATGTGCGGGAGGCAGCCAATCGATGTCTCTCTTTCTCTCACATGCTGTTTCTCTTTCTGTCTCTCCCCGTCCCTGCCACTCTCTCTGAAGCCAGCGGGAAAGCAGCGCTCGGGAGAGGATTAACAGCAGCGAGGAAGAGACGCACGGACAGGAGTGGGGATCAGAAAGCCTCCCTCCGGTCGGAAAGGCTAGCCGCAGAGTGAGGGCTGCGAGGTGTGAGGGCCGCGGGGTGTGAGGGCCAGGGAGTGAGGGCCGCGGGGTGTGAGGGCCGCGGGGTGTGAGGGCCGCGGGGTGTGAGGGCCGTGGGGTGTGAGGGCCGCGGGGTGTGAGGGCCGAGGGGTGAGGGCCGCGGGGTGTGAGGGCCGGGGAGTGAGGGCCGCGGGGTGAGGGCCTCGGGGTGTGAGGGCCGGGGAGTGAGGGCCGCGGGGTGAGGGCCTCGGGGTGTGAGGGCCGAGGTACTTAGCCAGCGAGGGCCGCCCCGGACACGGACCTTCTCCTGCCAGTGCAGCGTGCCGATGATGGCCAGGATGAACACGCACACGCCGATGAGCGCGATGGCCGTCAGCAGGACGATGTTGCTGGGCGTGAGGTACAGCTTGGCGCTCCAGCTGCCGAGGACAACAGGGGAGTCAGAATGGCCGTTTTGACTTAAGAGATTCTACTGAGACCAAAAGCCAGACGGCTTATGAAGGAAGCGACCCACTCATTCATGTCACCCCCGTCCGTCCGTCCGTCCCTGTGTCACCCACAAACAGCGCGGCTGCCCCGGGCAGGACTGACTCGCTGGCCCTGAGGGTGCAGGGGGCAGCAGCGACCCGGAGCCGGCGGGCTTTCTGACGAGGGGCTGTGACCTTTCTCCTCGATCTGGGACAGTGCGCGGAGGGACCTTTGTCCAGGGGGCTTTCACACGCTGCTCGCCTTCTTAACTCCACGCCTTGAACTCTGCGCTGCTGGCCACAGGGTTTCGGGGAGGGCTCCTTCACAACTTCCCTTGGGCCTCCGCGCACAGATGGACTAGACCAGCTAAGACAAGCACGTGACCGGGGGGGGGGGGGTGCAGACACGGCTAGGGGGGACCCTGGGCCGTCTGCGTGTCATGGTGGACGGGAGGCCCCGTACAGAAGCTCTGCGTCGGGGCAATGGGCAGCCTCAGCGCCAGCAGAGCGGGTCTCTCTGTGGCCCCACACGGCGGCATTGAACCGGGAGCCGGAGGCAGCACCTGGCGGGGCCCCCGGAAATCTCTCCGCTCTCCCCAGACAGAGGCGATGGGCGTGTTCCAACCCAGAAGCTTACGAAAGGCACGGTGGTTCTGGTGAATGGCAAGTGAGACTGACTGATTTGGGGCTAATTAAAATTTATCGGTCCTCAAGTTAGTCTCTAGTGAGTAAATCTCAAAATACACCTCCAAGTAAAATCAGTCTGGCTTTTATTACGTCATAAATCTGGAAGGAACGTTTCCTCAGAAAGAACAAGAGGGACATGAAAAGTGTGGAGACTGCAGAGGAGCTGGGAGTTTTCCGGAAGCCCGGGAGTGGGAAGACCGGAGCTCATTCGAAAGCCCGGCGCCCTGACCTGCCGGTGCACAGCCGGGAAACCGAGGACCGACTGGTTAATGGGACGTGCAGAGACCCTCAGGTCACCTGCTGGCTGTCGGATACGGTGCGATTTGTCTGCACGGGAGTGCGGGGCTTAGTGTGGGCCAGGGGTCTGCAGGAGGGGCGCCGTGCGGGCCCGCCCTCGGGGGAGCACAGTGGTGTGTGAGGGCTGAGGAGTGTGAGGGAGGGGGAAGGGGGGAGAGAGAGAGAGGAGGAGGGGGAGAGAGAGAGAAGAAAGGGGGGAGAAAGAGAGGGGAAAGGAGAGAGAGAGAGGGGAGGAGGGGGAGAGGGGGAGGGGAGGAGAGAGAGGGGGGAGAGGGATCACAGGACCGACGCCGGTCTGGGCGGCGCTCAGGGGCCTTACCTCCGCGGCACGTCGTGGGGGTAGGGGATGACGATCAGCTGGGAGTTGGGGATGATGGCGGTCCACTCCTGCTTCCGCACCGCCTGCAGGAGGGGAGGCTCAGCGTCTGTCCCTCCCGCACGCCCCTCCGCCAGGAGCGGGCGAGTGCTCTCTGGCCGCGGAGCCCGGCCCGGGAGGTGCGTCCCCGTGCGGGGCCCCGGCAGGCTCCCGGCGCTGCGGCTCGAGGTGTGCGATCTCTCAGGGAGGACCGCATGTCTGCCTCCCGGTGGTGCGTTCCTTTAACAAATATCATGATTCATCACGGCCCCACTGCTTCCAGGGCTGCGTACCGAGGCCGCTCAGAGCTCGGAGCGGCGGGGGTCCGACAAGCTCCTGAGACTCTGAGTGAGCAGGGGCGGGCGAGGCTTAGCGAGAGGAGGCTCAGAATAAGGAGGCGGGAGCTCCAGCTCCCATTAGGACATGCTCCTGCCAGGCCATTGCCAGCGATTCTCTTAGCCCTTTATTTGCATCACCGTGATTCAACTCAACTCAACTCAAGAATCTGAATTCAGCAGAAACCGGTTTGGCTCAGTGGATAGAGCGTCGGCCTGCGGACTGAAAGGTCCCAGGTTCGATTCCGGTCAAGGGCATGGACCCAGTGGGGGGTGTGCAGGAGGCAGCTGATTGGTGTTTCTCTCTCATCGATGTTTCTGACTATCTCTCTCCCTTCCTCTCTATAAAAAGTCAACAAAATATATATATTAAAGAAAAAAAAAAGAGTCTGATTCCAATGTCTGAATAGTGACTATTAGAATACAGGTTAATTGTAAACAAAGTATGTTTGTACGCACCTTCTCTCCAGAGGGACGGGGGATCCCGACATAGAGATGATCAAGGAAATTCGCACTTCGACCCAAACCAAGCACGTTGTACGGCAGCTGGAGAGCCAGGTGTGCCGACTGGCTGAGCTGTCCGGCTGCATGTATTAAAAAAAAAAAGAAAGAAAAAGAAAAGGCACCTTTGGAAACAATGCGCTCATCAAATATCGAGAAGATAAACTTAAAAATAGGAAGAGAATTTCCACGAGGCAAAATCTTTTGTTCTAACAAGTTTGGCGCTGCAGTTCCTAATTTTCCTTGATTTTTCAGAATGCGCCTGACTCACTGCCTCTGTGCAGATGGGATTCCTAATTGCCGAGCAGCTGAACGAGCTGCGAACTTTCTCCCCGTTTCTCCTCTGTTCTGTGCGTACGTAAGCCATCCGTTCACTCAGTCGCTCGGTTTTGTAACCAGACCGAAAGGAGCACCAGTTGCTGCTTAGAGGTGGTCTGTCTCTCCCTCCGCCCCCCCCCCCCCCCCCCCCCCGCCTTTCGGAAAAGCCCCGTCACAGTTAAGTCCCTCCATGTCCGCTGCCCTGCGGACGTGGCTCTTCCTGTCAGACCGTCAGTTGATGTGGGATGAAGGTAAGGGAACGATTCTTGCAAAAACTCATTTTTTCAGAGAGAAACCATGTCATGGGCGTTCCAGAGGGCATTGTCGCTCTTTCCATTTTCTTTCTTTTTTTTTTTTTTATGTTTTTGACACAAAAACCTGCCTAATATTCGCTCAGCGAAGAGGAAGGATGCCAGCGTGTCCTGGACGCTCTGGCTTCACAAGGATCTGAACTGGGACGGAAGGAAGCGCTTTGTCCTCACTTACGCTTCCCTGCCCAGCACCGTCTAGTACGGCATCCGATCATCACTGCTGGCCGACTTCTCCCCGAATGCTGAAAGCTTTTACTTCTGGGATCTGTGTGCTGCGGCAGCAGCGTGACTGAGAGTGTAACCGTGTGCAGTGAGTGGAAAAGGACCCTCACGGGCGTACTGCCGTGAGGCCGGCTTGTGCAGCGAGAAGGGCCGCACAGCGAGCCCTCCCGTATGGCTGGGTCCGTAGGAACCGAGAATAAAAGCAGCCCCGCTTATGCGTCTCCATGGCGAGGCCTAGCGTCTCAGAGGCACTGATATGTCACGGCCCCTTTTCTTATTTAGAGTCGGAGCGATCGCAGGGTGCTTACCGCGCTCTCCGCCCCCTCCCAGGCCGCCGGCATCTGTCAAAGGCACCCATCCCTCGCTGAGTCTCATTTCTTTTTTGTCTTAATGGCGTTTGTCTCTATTATTGCCTCAGAAGTATAGCGAGAGTTTTTCTTTACGATCATATATCAAAACCAGCTCTGCGTAACGTTCTAGCTTCTATCCCACTGGGAAAAACCAGGACTACTTTAGGCTGTAGACTGGATTCCTAATTTTTATTTCTTCCGGGAGGAGCTTAGTTAACTAATTTCCACTTCAAATTGGATAAAAATAACGCAAGTAATTTCTCTCAGTCTTTGTTACTTCAAGTGAAAAATCAGGTAACAATTTGGCTTCGTCCCAGTCGGGGAATTTAAGGAATTAATGTATTTGTCTCGAGGACCTTCTGTGATCTACTGATGTCAGCCTGCAGAAAGACTACACGTGATGTACAGGTGAGGGTTTGGTGAGGGGTGAGAAAGCAGGCTCATTCCGTCACCAGCTTACTTTGCCCACAGACCGACCACAGGGTTCCTGTGCGTGGGAGCCGGGCACCCAGTCTTACCCGAACCGTTTTTCGGATAACCGTTGGCATCCACGGTTGTGTACATGATGTACGGGCCGGGCTGATTCACTCCGAAGGGCTGCAATGGAAAGAAGGGTCAGCCTTGGAAGTGAGTCTTGTTGGACATCCAGGCACTAATACTGTCCACCATATACGGTCAGCATCTGAAGCAGCTCTGCCAGAGGACTGTCCCTCTTTGAAGTCTGGCAGCCCCCCCTCCCCCCCCGAGAAGCCCCGCCCACAGCATGTCTGCACCACCCCCCTTTTCCCCCCGTCCGGAGCGGGACTGTTTGTCAAAAACAATCTTCAGGGACCTGAGCTGACAAGTCTCCTAGGCAAGGTGCCCCTTCCCAGCAAGCTCTCCTTGAGCACGGGAGGGCCCTGCGGCCACTCCTACAGGGTACTGGCTGGATTGTAGCCTATAGCAACTATTCTGTGTGTATCTATGTATCACGCAAAGAATTCCTCAGAGATATTGACAGCTGAGAGTTTACTTACTGTTATCTTACGAGGACAGTCATTAGAACAGAGGCCGCTAAGAACTGTGGAGAAATTAAAAAAAAAAAAAAAGGCTATTTATTATCCTATATAATAAAAGCATAATATGCAAATTGGCCGAATGGCAGAATGACCAGTCGCTATGACACACATGGACCACTGGGCGGATACACGCTCAATGCAGGAGCTGCCCCCTGGTGGTCAGTGCACTCCCACACTGCTCAGAAGCCCAGCTCTCGACTGGCGAGTGTGGTGGTGGGGGTGGGAGCGGGAGCCTCTCCTGCCTTCGCTGTGGGTGGACAGCAGAAGCAAGGGGCCCGGGACCGCGGGAGCCCTGGACCGAGAGAGGGAGTCTGACTGCCTAAGCCGGCAGGCGGACATCCCCTGAGGGGTCCCAGATTGCGAGAGGGTGCAGGCCGGGCTGAGGGACCCCTTCCCCCACCCGGTGCACTAATCTTGTACATCAGGCCTCTAGTTACTGATAAAATGCAAACTTATATTTAAAGAAAACTCTTACTGTTTCACCTAAAATCTATTAATATGCTCTTCTGGTTGAGCAGAAACCAATTCATTTCTTTAGATCTGAGTAAATTAAATTTTTGTTGTTCATTTTATACCGGGATTTCAAAAGCCTTTGTGAAGCGATCAGGATGCTAATATATATATATAGGTGAGGTAATTCTGGTTACATCCAGCTACAGCTACTGTGGGATTTATTTTCCAACTGGTTAGCTCCATTTCAAGGATGAATTGGAATCTGACAAAAGTGCCAAATGCAAACCAATTAAAATGCCTGCTGAGAAAAACAAATAGAACATTTAGTACTTTATGCCTCCAACTAGACTTTTCCCATTTATATAGACAAAGTTTCTGGTCACAGATTTTGGGCACGTTTGATAGCTGCTATAGAAAACACAGCTATAAAATAATTGATGAGTCTACCGTACAACAAATATACAGAAATAATGACACACTTATTCTATAATCACCCGCCAAGAGAAGGCGAGGATAGGGGAACAGTCCTTATAGGAGCGACCTGAGTGGGAGACACAGCTGTGCCCCTGCTGCTGCAGGTGCGGCGACGCCGTGTGACAAAGCAGACCCGCGCTAGGACACGTCCGTGTGTCACGAGCTGGAGAGAGCTGCCGGTCCCGCTCAGCACGCATGCGTTATCTCGAGGACAGTTACGAATGTGCCGGTTTACACAGGTCCATGGGGAAACGGGTTCTTCCCTTACGTTCTGTGACTGTACAATGACGATTGTTCTAACGGAACAATCGCGCTGAGACATGAGCGTGATTGCTTCATCATGTGAGAAGAGAGCTGCTCATTCATGCTGAAGGCATGCATGTATTCCATGTTTACATGACATACAACTTCAGGGAAGAGTGAAGTCAAGCTTTCTGCTTGCAACACAGTTTTCAGTGGTTACGTTGCTTTTTCCGGGACAGTGCCTGGCCCTCACTGTTTTATTCTCAAGGGTTCTTTTGTTTGTTTTTTGTTCATCTCCCCTCCACTCCAGGCAGACATCAGTATTTCTTTTCATTTGTCCCAAAGCCTGAGTGTCACACGCCTTCCCTGAAACCGTCACTCTGCTGAACAGCAATGATTGCTCACGAGCCTGGCAGGGGGCTCTGCAGCATTTCCCTCCGTCTCAGAGCCTGTGCCAAGGTCGCTGCCCCAGAAACACTCGTGCCAGCAGGAAGAGATGGATCATTCAGTAAACGTCCCGGAGAAGGGGCCGCGTGGAGGGAAGTGAGGGAGACTAAAGCGTGTAACATAAAGATTACATTTGGCAACGGCCCAGATAATACCGAGAGCTCCCACATTTCAATAATGAAGAGATGATGCATTTAAAAGTGAGCCAAAGGTCTGAACAGGCATCTCTCCAAAGAGGAGGCGGCGGACGAGTTCATGAGAAGGTGAGCGGCCTCGCTCGCAGCGAGGACAACTCGCACTGACCAGCGGAGCGCCTGCTACTCGGTCCGGGAGCGGAGGCACCCCCACACCCCCAGGGGCTCTGCACCCGCCCCTCCCCCCAGGGGCTCTGCACCCACCCCCCCGGGGGTCTGCACCCGCCCCCCCAGGGGCTCTGCACCCGCCCCTCCCCCCAGGGGCTCTGCACCCCCTGGGACAGGCTCCCCCCACAGGAAAAGGGGAGCCGGGGGACGTCATGCTGTGAAACAGCCAGACTCGGAGGATGCAGGCTGCCCACCCCCCCTCGGGAGGCGCCCAAGGAGCCAGGCTCATGGAGGGCGGGGTGGCAGTGACCAGGGACACTCGTCACAGTGCTTCCGGGCTTAGCCTAAGGCTTTGGCGGGACAGCGGAACCACCTCTGGGAAGACCAGGCATCATCTCCCCCCCCTTCTCTCCCCGATGTGCGGTGAGTGGCGGGCTCTCAGGCGGACTTGTCCCCGCTGCCTCCTCAGTCCCCACAGGAAGGCCGCAGGGGTGCAGGGGCCCCGGCTCAGCAGCGGAGCTGGAGCGGGGCCAGCAGCCACTCGGGCACAAAGCTCACGGAGCTCTGAGGGCCACGGACACTGGCCACGGCCTGGCCTGGCAGACACGCTCTCCTGCTTCGGGAAAATGGCTGTTCTCTGTACGGGGTGCTGTGTCTGGCTCAGCACACTTGAGAATACCAGGTGTACCGGTTAATAATGCAGACTTCCTTCAATCAATAAAGTTACACATATGTTGATATATGCGAGTTGATATGTATGCTGTTTTGTTGTGTTGATAGCAAGCTTCAAAACTTCATGTCAAATTTTCTGGTGTTAACATCATAGATATTTTTATGCTTAAAAAGGTCAAATTTTGTGCCAACGGAAGAGCATTTGTGGGAAGTTTTAATTCATTACTTTTTTTTGAAGAAAAGTGCTGCTGAAGGTTATCGTATACTTCGGGAAGCTTATGGTGAACATGCTCCATCTCAAGATACTTGTGAACACTGGTTTAAATGCTTTAAAAGTTATCCTTTCAATGTGAAAGACAAAGAACATCCAGGTCAACTGTAAAAATTTTGAAGACCAACAATGACAAGCATTATTAGATGAAGATGCATGTCAAACTCAAAAACAACTTGCAGAAAGGTTAAACGTTGCTCAGCAAACAATTTCTGATAGTTTAGAAGCAATGGGAAAGATTTTAAAGGAAGGAAAATGGGTGTCACATCCACTGAACGAAAGACAAATGGAAAACTGAAAAGTCATCAGTAAAATGTTGCTTCAACGGCACGAAAAAGTCTTTTTTGCATCTAATGTGACTGGCAATGTAAAATGGATTTATTTTGAGAATCCCAAACGCACAAAATCATGGGTCGATCCAGGTCAACCATCAACATCAACTATTTGGAAAGAAGACAATGCTCTGCGTTTGGTGGGATGGGGAAGGTGTGGTGCATTATGAGCTTCTAAATCCAGGTAAAACCGTTAATACTGATCGCTACCAACAAGAAATAATCAATTTGAACCATGTTTTGTTCATAAAACCACCAGAATGGGCCAGAAGACACAGCAAAGTAATTTTGCTTCACTATGACACACCATCACACACCTCAAAACCAGTTGAAGACACATTAAAAGATCTTGCCTGGGAAGCATTAACCCACCCGCCATGTTCAGCCCCTGCTCCTTCAGACGACAGCCTGTTCTGATCAACAGCACACACACTGTCTGAGCAGCACTTCAACACGTACGAAGTGGAGAATGGGATCTCTGAATGGTCTGCCTCGAACCAGAACGTTCTATTGGGACGGTACCACAAATGACCTGACAGATGGGGGAATGTGCAGCTAGCGATGGACATCACTTTGAATAAAGCACTTTTGATGTTTCTCTTGAAGTTTTCATGTTTTCTTTGATTATAAAATCTGCTATTATTAACTGGTACACCTAGTATTTACTCAAAATTACATAAATGGGCTCTCTTTTCATTTTTGATAGAACAAGCTAAAAATTGGCTTGTATCCTGCATCTATTTTTGTTTTTTACAAGACTTCCTCTGTCAAATTTGAAGTTTCATATTGTATGGCCAAAAATGATAAGATTTCAACATGTTGCAGATAAAATTACACATATATTACCCAGCATGCATTCCTTGGTTTTTGTAAGATTCGGGAAGGAATGAGGCCCATGCTTGGGTGTCATTAACATCCTGCACACGATACTGTGTATGACAGTTTATACGCCCGGGACTGCGAGTGCTTCCAGGACTCGGGGCCTCGGGGCCTCGGGCGGTGGCCGGGCCCGGGTACTCTCAGGAAGTAGGAAGTCCTGCGATCAGGAACAAGGCAGGAGTGCCCGTGCTCACCAGCCAGCAGCACAGGGTGGGATTCTAGCAAGAGCAAGGACGGGGGAGGCAGGGCCTGGAAGAGAGACACAGACCGGCCTCTTTACAAACACCATGCCTGTCTCTGGAGAAAGCCCCAGGGACCTAAAACCACCCCGGGGGACCCCGAACTGAACAGCAGGAACCGTTACAATCACCTCGAGGGGCACAGACACAGGCAGGCGCTGACGGAGCCCGTGCGGGGCCCGGGCCGGCCCGGTGGCGGGAGGGGACGGGGACGGTGAGTGACGCCTGTGGGTGGCTGGGTTGGCACAGAGTCACGCAGGCCCTCCCGCGGGTGCGGGTGGTACGGGTGAAGCACTCACCGATGACCTTCACGAAGTAGGCGTCCGCCTCGAAGTTGTTCTTCAGCGCGTGGATGGCCAGGTCGCTCCTCCCGTGCCCTCTGCTGAGCACCACGATGTCCAGGACGCCCTGGGGGCGCAGACGGGCCGGTGAGCGCAGACACGGCATGCAGGGCCTGTTTCCACGTAAACGGCACCTTCTCCACCCCCACGTGCACACGCAAACACACGGACAAGACAGAAGCCCCGAGGAGGAACACGGGGGGGGGGGGCGGGAGACGCTGCTAATTCAGATCCCAGAGGACCGCGCCCTGCTCGGCTAGCTCCCGGGCTGACGCGCGTGACGGCAAAGGCCCGGGACAGGGCCCCACGCCACGGCCATGCCCGGCAGAGGGCTGCCTGCCTGTGCCCCTCCTGTCACACTCCCTGCGGGAGGGGAGCCTTGCTGACCCTGTTGGGGGAAAGAGGGCGCCTGTAGGGTAAGGTGACCAGACGTCCCTATTTTTAACAATTTTAATAAAATCGTTAAAGGATTGTTAAACGATTTTAATAAAATCGGGACTTTTTAAAAAACGCCGTGGGACTCGGAACAAACTGCTAGAGATCGGGACTGTCCCATCTGGCCACCTTACTGCAGGGTCCCTCCCCAGCCCGTGGGGTGACCAGTGACGGCCTTCCCACGCCAGCCGCCGGGTCTCTCCTGTGAGCGACGGCGCCCTTGTGCTCGGGAGGGGATTTCAGTGACTCGGGCAGCTCGTATCAGCCTCTGCCCAGTGAGGCGGTCAGCCTGCTCCCGGCCCGGGACTCACGTCCTCGTAGATGTCGAAGAAGGTGGCGAGGACGGCCTGCGGGATCTGGCCCAGGTCCGTCAGCTCCCAGAACACGCGGAACATGCGGTGCGCGCCCTCGCAGCTCACGTTGTTGCAGGGCACGTTCTCCAGCAGGAAGGCCTGCTGGCCGCTGCGGGGAGGACAGGCGTGAGGACACGGACACGCGTGCGCGGCACGCGGGCGGGAGCTCCCGGCGCGGTGCTGTGCACTGGGGGCTGCTGCCAGCGTGGAGCGTCTTTGTTTCGAGTCGTTACTGCTGACGGGGTTACATATGCCCCTCCCCCATTTCCCCTCTTACCCCCCCCCCACCTCCTCCCAGCTGTCCGTGGAGAGCGCTCCTCGGTGCTCCCGTAACAACACACACCGGGAGACGGTGACTGCGCTGCAGAAATCAGAGGAGCCCACAGCTGTGGCCGCCTGAGACCTCAGGGGACAGGGACCATTTCCTCTCACCCCCCCCAGGACAGCGCGGTCAGGAGACACCCCCCTTGGCGATGGGACATCGTGTCCCTCACCCTCGGAGGAGGTGTGGACGTTCGCCGGAGGTGACACCTTTCCTGGCGGTGTTTCACTCGGAGCTACCGACACCCCCGCCCCAGAGACCTCGGAGAACGCCTGGTGTTCAAACATCGGCGAGGAGACGCCTGTTCTCCCGGGAGGACCGCTCTGGGCAGCAGGCACCTGCACGGGTGACTGTCCGGTAACCGTCAGCCCGTCCATCGTTTATGGGCGGGGGAGAGGGCAATGGGATTCAGACAAAAAACACCAGCCGGTCCTGTCACCGGCATGTTTGGTGTTTACACCATATTCTAACACCAGTTTCTGCGAAGCGCTCATTGTTTCCTGAAGGGGACACGTTCGATCTGTGTGCCTGAGCTCCTGGGCGGGAAGAGCTCACCCCACTGAAGTTCCAATGCTTCCTTCCGGGGGGAAGTCTGACCCCACGCTGAGTAAGACAATTACCACCTTCAGGGAGGGGCGTCATCCCGACCGACCGGAAATGCATGGAAATGAGATTAAACCAGCAATGGATACGTAATCAGCCCTTTCTAATCAGCCCTTTCTACCGAAGAGGACAAACCATTCAGTAATTTACCAGCAGAGGAAAGGCAGATGGAAATAATCAGTTAGAGCTTCTGTGCTGGTCGCGCCTTCCTTGGCCTCGGGCGGCCCCAATGTCAGACTCACGCTCATCGCCCTAAGCTCTGCTACCCTGCCTGCGAGGGGAGAGAGTCTGTTCTCGAAATGAAGATGCTGGGAATCTGCCACGTCATGGCGCAGCCGAGACAATGTGACAATGGGAATTTACCGCCAATGTCACTGATGAGCCGCGACTCCGGGCTGGGGCACTGGAGGCGGTAAGCGAAGAATATGGTTCAGAGACCGAAACCGGTCCGCGGGATTCAACCCCAGCCGCACGCTGCGCCGAGCCCAGGCCCAGCCCCTCCTCTCGCCGAGGAGCCTGCTCCTGAGGCCGTGGCTTCGGAAAAGCCAGGTCCCTGGGCGTCCTCTTGGGTCAAACCTCCACTTCCTCTCGAGGCCTGTGACCGCGGCACTGCTACGTAACCGTTTCACGTTCACACGTCACACACCACATCTCCCCCTGCGCCTGAGCACGCTCAGCCTGCCCTTCTGCTCTGGGAGGGGGACGGGTTGCCCACCTCCCCAAAGGGCTCAGAAAGAGTCACAGATGTATTTTCTGGGGAGCTGAGAACCCCAGGCCTCTCCCTTACGTTGCCCCAACTGCTGGTTTTGGATTTAGAAGGAAACCTCGTCTGAAATGCTGATCTCGGGCCTAAACAAAAACTCGGGCGAGGAAATCCTTTTCTGAGATTACGTGGCAGGACTGCCAACACTCCACTGTGAAAGGATGGTGAGCGCGGGCCTCCTCGTCTCGTCCCTGACCTTGGGAAGAGCTTCCGGCTTTCCATCACTGAGTATGATGCCAGCAGTGGCTTGTGGCCTTTCCTGTGTTTAGGCATGTCCCTTCCATGCCCACTCATTGTAAGAAATGGATGTTGAATTTCTTATGTACTGAGCATATGACTTTTATCCTGCACTCAGAGTATGTGATATAGTATGCTGCTTGACTGGTGGGTATTAAACCATCCTTGCATTCCGGGAATAAATCTCAGTTGATCATGATATATGATTTTTTTTTGTTTTACAGAAAATAAATCTGTGAAAAAGAACTAGTGTTCTTCTTTTCTTTTTCTTAAAAAAAAAAAACAAAAACACAAAAACTTTTATTGACTCTCCAGGAAGGGAGAGGGAGAGAGAGAAAAACATCAATGATGAAAGAGAATCACTGATTGGATGCCTCCTGCGCACTGTCTACTGGGGATGGAGCCCGCAACCTGGGCCTGTGCCCTGCCTGGGAGTGGAACCCTGACCTCCTGGCCATAGGTTGATGTTCAACCCCTGGGCCAGCCGGGCGGGCGGGCGGGCGGGCGTTCTAAGCAGCTGAAGAAGTTCAGGGACCACGTGAAGAAATAGGACCCACCTGGTCTTGGTATTTGAGGACTGGACCACATCTGGGTGCCATTGAGTTACAAAGTGTCACGTGATGACACTTTACAAACGGGGACTCGATCCCGTACCTGCCGGACGTGTTCCTCAGGATGGCCAGGGCGTCGGGGTAGCCGTCCATGTTGTAGTCGCCGACGCGGAGGGTGATGGGGACCGGGATGTCCGTCGGGTGCTGCTCCGGCACAAACGGCACGAAGCCCCAGAGGGTGCCCTTGCTGCTGAAATCCTGCAGGACCGGGACCCACTGCGCATGGAGAGAGAGGAGAGGGCTCCGCCGTCAGCTTAGGAAAACACCCACCGTCTGCAAAACGGGCAGTCCGCTCCAGCTCCGCACGATAAACAGCCCCTGCGTAAGTTCTTCTCGCTACAGGGGAGGGCGCTACACTCCACTCTTGAACTGCGGCGCCGGCAGGGAGCTCTCTCTAACACTGATCACTGGCCGCCTTTCCCTGAACGGGCAGCACAGCCTCAGGAGGATTTCACAGGATTTCAGGGTCTCAGGACTAAAAGGGCATTGCTAACGACAGAGCTGAACTGCCCGCTGGAAAACCTGTATTGACTGGAAATATAACCTTAGAGAAATAGTGTTAAAAGTTAGAGCCAGCTGTAATATGTCGCTGATGTCCTTTCAGGAGGACCGGGTCAGGGGCAGTGAGAACACGGAACGCTCTTTCTGGACAGCCTCCGACACATGGCCCTGACCTTGGCCGTCACTCCAGAGCCAGGCACCACCCGACGGGCTCTGACCCCTGGGCTCGGCCTGCCCTGAAGGAGAGCTGGGCCCTAGAAGACGGAGCTCCGTGTCAGTCAGTCCTTTCTTTCTAAAGGAGGGAGTGAACAGAACAGAGAACAGGCTGACTGTAAGTGAGCGTTTGGAAACCCCTTTCTTTCCCGATGCCCCCGTTTTCCCTGTGCACAGCTAACGCGCACCATGGCTCTGAGGCAGAGAGGACGCTGCTAACAGCGCAGACTGCCCACGGGGAGCTGGGAGCCGGGATGCCGGCGGGGAAGCCGGAGACACCGAGACAGAAGCGGGCGCAGCGGGCGCCGAGGGCAGGGGCCACGCACCCCCGCGGGGCTTTCTCTGACGAGCAGGGGAACTGCATAAAGCGGCTCCGGGAAAGCCGGACACCTGTGCTGTCTGCAGGAGCGCCATTTGCCGGGGAGAAGAGAGAAGCTTAAAGACACAGTTACAGAAAACAAGGCCCTTAAAAAATACTTGTCTGTAACTTTAACCACTTCTTCGATCTCTCATAAAGTAAAAAGGTTCTAACTATCATCAAACTGTTTCCACGTTTCACTGGACTGAAAAAACAAGCAAACTGGTTTTGTTTTGGAAAATGGAAACTTCCTAAAGTGCCAACCATCACCCCCTTCTGGAGGCTGACAGCTCACTGAAGAGGAGAAAGGTTCCCGCGGAGGTGGATGTTAGGGCCAGAGAAGCACACCTGTGAATCCACTCGAGGTGTGTCACCTACTGTCTCAGAGGTTCAAACTTTAAGGAAGTCCAGGGTAATAACACGACTGTTAACAGCTAACTGTGTCAGGATGCTATCAGAGCATTGGGAGGACAAGGGCTATAGAACTATACGGCTTCAGGTGCACAGTCCCACAACCATCATCTGTACACACTGTGCTTCGTGTTCATCCCCCCCCCCCTCCTTCCATCACCATTCATCCCCTTTATCTCTCCTCCTTCCCCCTGGGCAATCACCAAGCCGGTCTGTGGAGACTGGTTCTCGTTAGGGTCTCAGCGTAAAAGGTGGTGTTTGTACTTCTAAGGCTATAAAAGTCAGTGTGCTATTCTATCCTTTCACCGCCAAGTAGAAAGGAAAACGGATTAGCTCTGCCCTATTACTGGCTTCCTGCCAGCCCCTGTCCACAGGGAGAAGTCCTCAATGTCATGACCTATCGCTTCCTCCCTCGTCAGTCCTTGGCTGTGACTATCGGATCCTAAATCGTCCACCTACAGGCGGAGGGGAGAGTCGGCGGGAGATGACGTGGATCTCGCCATCACAGACAGAAACCAGATCAGCCCGGTCAGAGAGGGCGTGCGTTTACCTTCCCCCCCCCCGCATATGAATGCTAACACCATTTAACTGCAGGACCGAGACCAGGTTTTCTCCACCGGAACGATTGCAACAGCACTCCCCCCTCCACAAGCCAATAAGGAACGGATGGGGACGCATCTCCTAAGGGAGGAAGTCCAGCACTTTGGTTTCTCTGCTTACCCTTCAGATCAGCTTTCGGACCCTCCTTCCCAGGCCTGACCCCGCCCGTGTCAGCGAGGGGACGTACCTGCTCCGCCCCGGACCTCGCCAGGTAGATGGCGCTTCGCTGGCAGCCGGGATCCTCACAGCCCGGGAGCAGGTGGTCCATGTGCCCGTCTCCGTCTGCGGAAGAAGCGCCCAGAGTCCGTTGTGGGCAGGGCACGCTCCCGCTCCTCCCCCCCCCCCCCCACCTCGCCCCGGCACACCGTGCAGGCCGGCGGGACTGCTAAACGCGTTCCATTAACACTCCTGGGCCTGGCTCCCTGTCACCCGGGCTGCTTCCTGTTTTAACCGCTCACCTTTCTGGGCCACATTCTTACCAACGTGGGAAAAAGGCCCCGTTCCAGGGTCTGACGTTGAAACCGCCCATTTAAAACAACGGGCTTTTGACTTATTTACATAATGATCGCCGCCGCCCAGGCAGTACCCCACGATCAGGCATGTTTTACATGTGCTTACACACGGTTTGTGTTACATGCACGTTTAGGTGTCGCCTACACAGCAGGGACCTCAGTGGTCACAAAGCTCGTAGCCCCAACCTCTAAAAAGCAAGACGTTTTCATCAGTAAAAGAGCAAATGGCCGAAGCCGGTTTGGCTCAGTGGATAGAGCGTCGGTCTGTGGACTGAAAGGTCCCAGGTTCGATTCCGGTCAAGGGCATGTACATTGGTTGCGGGCACATCCCCGGTAGGGGGTGTGCAAGAGGCAGCTGGTCGATGTTTCTCTCTCATCAATGTTTCTAGCTCTCTCTCTCTCTCCCTTTCTCTGTTAAAAATCAATAAAATATATATTTTAAAACAAGAGCAAATGAAGGAAAACCAGCTGCTGCGTTTGTCAAGCACAGCACACCGTCTGCAAGGACCTCTGGAGGGGGTGCTGAGGACCCGGGGGCCACCCTCAGGCTCCCCATCTGCTGTCTCAGAGCCTGATGTGGGGGGCAGATTCTTATGTCCTCCTAGGTCGGGGCCTGACTCGGCTTAGCTCTCATCCCTGACTCATCGCCACGGCTCAAGGATCTGTGCCCCGGGGCTGGGCTGGGCTGGGCTGGGCTGCCGCGGGGCCTGTGCTGGGCGGTGCAGGGCTGTCACGGGGAAAGGCCCCCGGTGGAGCTGGCACACTGACTGACAGACAGACGGCCACAGACGGCCATGAGCCTATGGAGGCTGCAGGACCGCACCCAGAGGGAGAGGCGCTTGGGCAGAGCGGGGACCTGGAGTGGAGCGACCTCAGCAGGTGCCTCTCAGAGGAAATGAGCGTTTTCATCTGATTCCTGGGTCCTGGTGCTCTGGTGAGGACACACCTCCCGGGGGAGGGAACGTTAACAAAGCCGGGAACTGCCAACGGGAGGGGCAGGGGACCGGGGAGGGGATGGCGGCTCGGCTGCGGGGGAGAGCGCCCGCCTCGCTGCGGACGCCCCAGAACAGCCCAGCTTAGCAGGTTTAAGACGATCTCAGGATTCTGTGTGAGTGAGAGCCCACCACAGCTGTGGAAGCCTCGTTCCCAGATGCCTTTTGGAACGGGCTCCTCCTGTGGGCTCCAGCCTTTATCCGCAGGCGCCTGCTTCCCTTCCCTTCCCTTCCTTTTTTTTTTTTTTTTTTTTTTTTTTTACACCAAATGAATGGCGAACGTCTGGAGTCACGCTGACTTCCTGCCTGTCAGTCATTCCCTGACTTGGCTCACAGGAAGTGGGAGGCGGCAGATGAAGGATGCGGTTCACAGACTCACTCAAATGCACAGGAAAATCCATCATTTGTACATATTAATATTCATAGGCTTACTCAATGTACAGGAAAACGCATATTCCGTATGTATTAATACTCACAGACTTACTCTATGCCATCTGCTTTTTGGGACTCATTAGCAGCCTTGTTTTTTTCTAAAACCAACTAAGATTACAAGGACCATTTTTTTTTTTTTTTTTTAATATTGTTGTTGATTTCAGAGAGAAAGGGAGAAGGAGAGACAAAAACATCCATGATGAGAGAGAATCACGGATCAGCTGCCTCCTGCACGCCCCCCCACTGGGGATCATGCCTACAACCGGGGCCTGTGCCCTGACCAGGAGTCCAACTGTGACCTGGTTCAGAGGTTGATGCTCAATCACTGAGCCACACCAGCTGGACAGGACTTTTAAGTAGACGTTGTGGAATATTTATCTAAAGTTTTCTGGTATATTAATTCATATGCAACCTAGAATATATTTATTGACACGCTATCTAAAGTTATTAAAAATAGGGAAGAAATATCATTGTTTTTTCATTGACTATATCCTATATTTTGTGCATCTTAAAAATGACAACATATAGCCGAAACCGGTTTGGCTCAGCGGTAGAGCATCGGTCTGCAGACTGAAAGGTCCCGGGTTCGATTCCGGTCAAGGGCATGTACATTGGTTGCGGGCACAACCCTGGTGGGGGGTGTGCGGGAGGCAGCTGGTTGATGTTTCTCTCTCATCGATGTTTCTAGCTCTCTAACTCTTTCCCTTCCTCTGTAAAAAAAAAAAAAAATAAAAAATAAAAAATGACAACATATAAATGAGCAACACATGCGCCTGACCAGGGACAGAATGGAGCCTACAACCCAGCAGGTGCGTGCCCTTGACTGGAACTGAACCCGAGGCCCTTTAGTCCACAGGCCATGCTCCGTCCACTGAGGCCTGAGGAGTGCCCTGGCCCCCAGACATCTGCGCTGGGTGCAGGGTCTGTCACTGACGCAGCCCCCCGGTCCCCAGCACGGCACCGCCTCATGCATCCCTCCCTGACTGCTTGCAGTAGACGCACTAGCGCCAGGTGTGAGCTCCAGACCACGGTGTGCTTCACTGTCCCAGCCCCCCACGGAGGTCAGGGCCACCGACCCCATCCGACCTCCTGCTGCGACAGGGATGCGAGATGCAGCCATCTGACAGACCCAGGTAAGGCCAATGGGAAGAGAGCAATGCCCTGTGCTCCCATGATGTGCCGACACTGCTGCCCTCAGCCAGTCTGCGAGGTGCCGGCCACCGTCACCCTCACTGAATGGCGGGGAGACAGGCCTCTGGGTGGGGTGGCACGCTGTCTGTACCCCGAGGATCAGGCTGAGGAGTGGCAGCCTGCAGAGGGGAAAGCTGCCACCTCTCAGGAGGAACCTAGACCCCTCTACTCCTTCTCCTCCTCCTTCCAGCTGCAGCCCCGGGGGCAGAGAGAGCACTTGTTTGTGTGTCCCAGCCAATGCCAGCGTGGCTGGCGGGACAGAACCTATGGGAGGGGCGACCCCCAAACGGTGCATCTCTCAGGCACGGGCTGCAGGTACAACGCTCTATGCAGAGGCAGGCGGATCCTATAGTCACTCTGGCTCCCTAGCCTGGACCTATGGAACCTTCCCTGAGAGAGGCCCCGGGTTCACTGTTACTGAACACACGTGGGCAAACCGCTCCTCCGCACCTGGGTCTGACCACAGCGCGCGCGCGCGCACACACACACACACACACACACACACACACGCACGCACGCGTGCGAGGAGAGCCACCTACGACACGATGGCTGAGGGCGGCTGTCTGCTGACCGAGGCGGCCAGGGCAGAGTGGGGGGTGAACGTGAAGGCGGAACAGCCTTACCGAAGTCTGCGAACGCTGACTGTCCCACCACCACCATGTTGTGAGGCTTTTCAAACACCGTCCTGCTGGAGAAGTTCCCGTCCTGTCAGAGGCAGAGAACGCTGGGTTAGACCGTATAATCATCCGCCCGGGGGGATAGCAAGCATTTGGCGGGAGCAGGAGAGAAGTAACTTCGGACTTGTGCGTCCTACACGACGATCGTCCTGGACAGGGCAGCGCGGCGCATGGACGGAGCCGTGCCGCTGGGCGGCTCTCCGGGGTGGGTCCCAGGGTGACCCATTCTACTACACGTCACCCTGATCCCAGACATACTGAGCGCCCTCTTCCTGGGTCAGGGGGTCTCGGAAACACTCAGCTATAAAAACAGGAGCAGACACGGTGTGACTGCACTGTTCACGGACAGTCCTGCTAACCGCATGCACGCTGCGTGCACACGCTAATAAGGCCTTACGTACATCACCCCACTGATCCTCACAAAGCCTCGCACAAGCACATTTTAGCGACAAGTAAACAGATGCTTAGATGAGAGCTTCCCACGCAGGCCCGTCTGACATGCTGTACCACGCTCATCAATAATAAAGGCTCCGGGCATCTCTCTCAGTCCTAAAACCTTTTAAACACTTTGAAATCCAACGTTAAGATTGGGGGGATTTATTCTTCATTAATGGTCCTTTCATATCATCTAGAGCAAGCTAAAAATGAATCAAATCAAATCACAACACCAGTTTGGGAATCTTCTGCCTGCAATTACACAATAACATGTATCGGGGGGAAAAAACTCCTTAATCTTGGTCAACTTGGCAAGAAGTTTAGTATCCGTGTGTGTGTGTGTGTGTGTTTTATATAAGCCTGGAGGCAGGGAGGACATCAGTCTCTTAAAAGAGTTTTCTTCAATAAGCCATCAGCTGACTAATTACTGATAGCCCCGTCTCTCAACAGCTGACAGACAGCCCAGCCGGGCTGCTCCCACCCCCACGGGCCGCCTGCCGGGTGTAAGTGGCAGCTGCCCTGAGCCTGCAGGCGCGGGCACGGGTGCTGATGCAGGAGTGGGCGCTGGTGCAGGAGGCTGATGCTGAGTGGAGCATCCTTCACGAGGCTCGGCCAGACTCCTCACCTCGTTCTATTTATTGTGGGAACCAACCGACCAGCTGATTTCTTTCGCTTCATTTTCTAACACTGTGTTTTTACTGAAAGCCATCATTTAAACATGCTTCAAAGAAGAGATTTCTTACCAAATTTTCCCAGATCTCAAACTGCGGGGTGCCAGCGGCAGACAATGTCGTGAGGAATAAATCTAGAAGAAAGAGAGCCGAATCGTAAGCTGGGTTACTGATGTGCATGCTGGAAACAGGAAGACACGGCTAGACAAACCGCCACTCATTCAGTTGCCGACACTGCGTTAAGCGAGACTGTGAGGAGCCGATTCTAGCACAGGAAGCAGCAGGGGAGCCGAGCTGCTGCCTGAGGAGGTGTTTGCAGAGGGAGCACCCAGAGGGAGGAGCCTCCGACAGCCCTCAGCCCAGCCAGGCCTCTCCCCTCCACCCCAATCACACCACCCACGGGACACCCTCCCCTACCCCAGAGAGAAGAGGCCCAGGCCCCAAGCAACGCCCCCCACTTCCTCTGGGAACATCTCCCGGCCAGAGGGCCAAGAGCAAACACAAAGCATGCTTCACCTGTGACGCCCTCCCACCTTGGGGTCCCCCCTGGCTGCTGGGAGGCGCTGCCAGGGAGCCCACTACGTCTCCCCAGTACGCGGAGCATGCTGCCTGTTTTTATTAGGAGGAAGACTATTTTAAGAAAAGTTATTCTGGTCGAAATCCCAGTTTGCTGTCTGCCCCTAAAAGCAGCATGAACCCCTACGTCCCACTCAGGCTCAAGCCACAGTGTTATCCAAACTGAAGTCACAGAATCCCGAGTCCCCAGCACTCATGTGAAGTGAACAAGTTGTGTTTCAAATTCTGAGTAGAAAAATGATCGCCACACATACTGTGCTTTACTGAGAAGAACAACAATTTCGATGAAATTTACAAACAACAGGCCGGCAGCGGCCAGACCCCTGCCTGTGGGAGGCCCGGCAGCAGCCCCATTGCGTCTGCGCTGGCAGCTGGGCCTGTGATCAGAGGGGTGAGAGGGGTGAGCCGACTCCCAGGGACATATTACTCTTTGGAGCTTTAGAAATGGAAATTGTGCAGAGTGATGGGAAGACCTGACCGTTTTAAAGGAAATAGACACAGAAAAATGTCATTCATCCTTTGTGTTTTCTGTAAAAGATTACATACGAACTTAATGAAGCTAATTTGTGTGTCATTATAATAAACGATAATGAAGTCATTATAATAAAGATTTCCCCAGATCCCCAGGAAGGTAAGTCATTGGCTGCTTTTATTTCTAGTTGAACGCAGAGCTCCTGACACGAGTGCGTGAGCCCATCCTTACGTCGCACACCCGCCGCCCCCGCCCACGTGCCACCCCTCCCGGGGGGCTGTGCCTGACAGAAGGGGGTCCATTGCGAAGATAAACGTACGCTCCCCAGAGTGTGCGCCTCTGAGCTCACCCAGGAGGGTCCCCAGCACAGCCTGAGGCCTGTGTGATGACACGGCAGCCCCCCCTCCCCTCCAGGCCCCCCACCCCACCGGCAGCATGACACTGCACAGAGCACACATCCGAGCCCTCCTGTCTCCGGGCGTGGGGCGGCCTCCTTGTGCTGATGACACCCGTCCGCCCTCCCGTGTCCGGCTCACTCCCTGCCCCAGGAACCTCCTCTCAGTGGCACCAGCTTAGACGGCCCCCCTCCGCCTGGGCGTGGCTCCCCTCGCTGTGGCCTCACAGGACGCCTGTAGCCTGGTCTCCGGCCCGTTTCTCCCGAGCTCCCCCTGGGGAGGGTCAGGCCGAACTGCGTTTCCCCTCCCTCTGCCTCCTCGGGGCTGGGAAACAGCAGGCGCTCACGCGGCGGCTGGGTTATGAAATGCTGCACAGATTGCACATTCGCTTGGACTGCTTAAAAGCAGTCACTTGATTGCATTCTCTGATGGGAAGTCTTGGGAGAAGAGAGGTCTTATGTTAACGCATCTCACGGAAATGAGCATTATCTCTGCCTACTGCGTGACCGCCGAGAACACTGAACGCCGTTACATTCTTCCATTATCACGTTCTCTGCAAATGTGGTCCTCAGCATGAGAGGGTGACGGGGATTAACGCCCACAGAGACGTCCAGGTCCCTGAGCCGCCTCCACGCGGTGCCGAGCTGGTTGGAAGAGACAGAACCGGGAAAGGGGCGGTGATGCGGTTACTTGCTGTGACACAGGTGACTGACTGTTCAAGCGGGTGACAGCCACTGCTGCACCCGGACCCACGTGAGGAGACGCGGAGGAGGCGGCGGCGGGTTGCCACGGGCACCCAGGCTCACCGCCGAACCCGCCCTCGCTCTCCGGGTGGTTGCCCCTGGCCAAGCGGGTGGCACGCCCCGCAGCCCGTCCCATCCCGGTCCTGGGAAAACAGTGGGTTTTTCTGTGGATGCTGCTACGTCCCAAAACATTCGCATGAAAAGATGCTCGGAGCGCCCAGTCTGTCACTCATCTTTAGGAAACGTAGGAACCATAACGGAGTCTTCGCTGGTTGTGCCTTCACGGCCTCACCAGCCGTTTGTTGAGACTTTGAAAACCAGTCAAGTGAGATAAAGGGGTTGGAAGTACCTTGTAAAATTGATTTTAAACATTCATTCCACTTTTCAATTACGTGCGGAGGTTACAGGAAATAAATGATTCATTATGTGGAGAAATAAAAATAGAGACGGTTAATTATTAACAGCTCAGTGTGGAGAGTCACGCCCTGGCTCTGAGGGAGAACAGAGGCGACAGGCAGTGAGGGCTCGGCGCCCTGAGGCTCAGAGGAACGCCCACAGCGAGGCTGGTGGGGCTCAGGGGTTGAAGGTCAACCATGAACCAGGGGGTCACGGTCGGGCACCTGCCTGTGTTGTGGGCTCCATCACCGGTGGGGGGGCTGTACAGGAGGCAGCCGACCATGATTCTCTCTCCTCCTTGATGTTTCCCTCTCCCTCTCCCTCCCTCCATGAAGTCAATAATAATAAAAAAGACTCACTGACCGCCTTTGCTGCGGTGGCAGGTGCTGGGCAGTGGGTGCTGCGGGAGGCGGAGGGCGCCAGCACCCAGTGGGCTGGGCTGCCCGAATGCAGCCTGGCTGCCCCGCTGCCCACAGCGTCCACACGCCGCTACGACAGACGGACAACAGGCCCCCCTCCCCGTCTTCTCCCTGCATCCCCGCGTCATTTACGTGCGGAGGAACAGGAGATGGAGGAGGCAGAGCCGCCGAGGAAAAGGCCGAGTTAACACCGCACCTGGTACTTCCTGGGGCTCCTCCCGCGTGGACAGGCAGGAGCGGACGTGGCCCTGACCTCTCCCACCACCCGCACCGAGGGAGGGACTCTGAGCCGCCGCCGCCGCCGCCGTGGGCACGCGTCTCGGCGGCTCTGCGAGCGTGCTCACTGCCGTTCGCCGGGACTCTCACGCCCGTTAGTATGAAAGCCCGAGTCTGACCAAGGCAGTCTGCTTCTGAGAGGAGAATACTAACTAGATTCGGGCTGCCTCCTCTGCTCCGTCCCTGGAAATAAATTAGACACCAACAAGGTCACTGAGGCACTCCCGCCCCCAAATAACTCAGCCCCTTCCTGAGGCAGAGACGCCCCCGAATGCTAATCGCGGCTGCCGCTGCTCCTTCCCGTGTGCCCGTGCAGCCCGGGCCCCGAGAGCCTGCCCCAGACCCCGGGGCAGGGAGCACGCCAGAGGGGGGCGCCCTGCACCCCATGTGCAGCCCAGCGGGCGAGACCGGGACGGGAAGGAAGGGCTTGCGCCTCAGCTCGCTAAGCGTCCCCTGCCCCCAGGTCAGGCGGGAGCTGACAGGTGCTCCGGGCGTGGGCGCTAACTGGCACCCTATTAATGGAGGACAGACTCAGCGGAAATGGGGGGAAGGGGAAGGGAGCCATACCTCTCCGTGAATTTTCACAGAGGCCCACACTTTACTTTCCTTCTTTAAGAAAAAGCGCAGACAGCGTTTCCGTCAGACAGGTCCACGCCCACCCGGCCGCAGCCCTGCCGGCGCCCCCCCCCCCCCCCCCCCCCCGCGGCCACACGGCCCCGCGCCTGCCGCTGCGGTGACGCGGGCTCGGCGAGGGGGGGTTCCCGCCCCAGTGCCCCGTCTTCACCGGCCGCAGTCAGCAGCCTTTCCTGACGTTTCCAAGGGCTGAGGCCACGTGCAGCAGCAGCCTGGTGGCCCCTGCCGTGGGCGGGCGGGCTCTGCCGTGGTCACACCGGCCCGGTGGCCCCTGACGTGGGCGGGCGGGCTCTGCCGTGGTCACACCGGCCCGGTGACCCCTGACGTGGGCAGGCAGGCTCTGCCGCGGTCACACCGGCCTCACGTGCGCCTGCTGCTGGCGCCGTGCTCTCGATGTCGGAAAGAACAGCGGCGGGCAGAGCAATGCTTGCTGGCTCTCTGGGGCGCGGGGCAGGAAGGGTGAGCCCGGGTGCGGATAGCGGGGCTCACAGTTATGCACTGGGCGAGGGTGGTGCTGCCGCAGCTGACGTGCCCGGGAATGAAGTGTGAGGTCAGAGGGCAGGCGGCTCTCGGCAGCAGCTCCCGGCCCCTGTGCCCCGCTGCCGCGTCCTCGGGGAGAACCGAGGGCTGACCCTGACACGCTCTGGCTGGAGCGCACGGGCCTCTCCGTCTGGGCCGATAGCGATCAGCTATTATTTGCAACCGGATGTGAACCGGTTCAAGCCGAATGCATTCAGGAGGGATTTGTGAGATAGCCCTATGAGATCTGAAGGGTTGAAATGGTTTAATTTGTATGTTTTAGAAAAATGGACAGAATCCTTAAAAAAAAAAAGTCTTCATTATTCTCTCCACCTGCTTAGATAAAGCCCCATGGCCACCGTCCCTAAGCTGTGCACGTGATCCCGAGATGCTCCTGTGGAAAGTGACGTTTAGACGCGCCCCCAAACCACAGTGCCCACTTACCAAAGCCTTTGCTTCTCCCAGGTGTCCAGTACCCCTGGCCTCCCTACATCCTTAAACCGTTTCACACGCAATCAGAAAGAAAGCGCTTGCTGAGAACACAGGAACAAGGTCCCACGATTTGCACGGGCACACAGCTCACCTGCTGTGAAGTCTCCCGTCAGGTCAATGAACGCGTGAGAATGTGGGGTCCGCATCTTACTTTTGGTGGCCAGTGCAGGGTGCCATGATAAATTCCTGAAAAAAAAAACGGACAGCACCACGATTTTCGTGAGGCCAACATCAAAGGAGCAAGGCAGAGGCGTCAAAGTTTTGTTCCTTTTCATTTGGCTGTTTCACACGCCCTCAGCTTCCCCATCCTACAGCTCACTCGCAATGCAGGAGCGTCCTCAGATCTCCCTTTCTGTGCCAACACTCATCGCTGTCACGTGTTTCATTAGAGCTGTCCTGTGCTCCCGGCCACAGGCTATCTGCTTTGGAGAAATGCCTCCTCAGAGCCGTCGCCTGTTTGAAAATTGGGTTATTTGTTGCTTTATGTCTGAGTTGTGAGAGTTCTCTATAAAGACTGAATAGTAGGTCTTCACCCCATGTGTGACTTGCCAATGTCTGTTTTTTTTTTTCTTTTTTTTCTTTTTTGCTTGTCCTTTTGGTGTCATGTACAGGAATTCATTTCCAAATCCAAGGTCGTGAGGTTTTACTGCTATGAATTCTTCTGAGTTTATAGTTTTAGCTCTTATATTTATAGATCTCTTCTAAATACAAGAAATAATGATTAAATGCTATTATTTTTTTTCCTAGACCGTAGTATTGGTTATCTTTTATGAATATCAATTTTAAAGTTTGAGTCTTGCAGAAGAATGAATTTAAGACTCTACCTCAAACCATATAACAAGAATTAACTCAAAATGGATCCAAGAGCTAAATCTAGAAAACTCCTAAAAAAACAAGTCTTCATGACCTTAGATTTGGAAATGGATTCTTATGTTGACACCATACGTATGTATGACACCAACATAACAAGCAATAAAAAAAAGAAAAAAAAAATAGATGAACTGGACTAATTAGAATTAAAAACTTTTTACATCATAAGACATCCCATCTCTGCTAAGGCCCTGGTACCCGGACTACATAAACAGCTTTCACAGCTCTGCATCAGAAGATAAACAGCCTTCGTTAAAAACGGCCTGCCTAGCCATGTCTCCTAAGAAGGTATACAGACGGCTGCCAGCACACCAGGAGATGCTTAGCGTCACCCGTCACTGAGGAGTCGCACCCCAAACCGGTGAGCAGCCCCTTCAAGCCGCGGGCTGGCAATCGTCAAAGCCGGGAGCACCGGGCGGCGCAGCGCCTGTGGGCAGCGGGTCAGCCGGCCCCCAGAACTCAGACCCAGACCCACATGGGACCCCGCCCTGCCGCATGGGGCCTCTGCCCGCAGCACTGAGGGTGAACAGGCACCCCCGCCCCCAGTTCCTCATCGGCAGGCATTCCTGTCCCGCAGGGCCCCACCCACACCAGCCGCCTGCAAAGGCCTGTTCCTCTCCGACCTCTTCCCATAACCCGGCTCTCCACGCGCTCGCTGCGGTTTGTGCCGGAACCTTCTCTCTGCGGGTGTAGCTCCTCCAGCGTCCTGAGCCCCAGCCCCGAGTCAGAGGCTTCAGCAGCACCTCCCTCTCTACTTCTACCCTGTTTTCCCGAAAATAAGGCAGTGTCTTATATTAATTTTTTCTCCCAAGCTGCGCTAGGTATTATTTTCAGGGGATGTCTTATCTTCCCATGCGCTAGGTCTTATTTTCAGGGGATGTCTTATTTTCCCATGCGCTAGGTCTTATTTTCGGGGAAACACGGTAGTTAGAATCTGTCCGTCCCCCCCCCCCCCCATTATGCTCCAGCCCCTTATGGAAGTATAGACGCGTCATCTCTGAAGAGCAATGGAAGGCTCATTAAGTCCAACTTAATTGTCTGCGCAGCACCCAACTGCCCGTGGGCCAGCAAGGTCTGTGAATCCAGTCCCGATGGGCGGGGAGAGCGGAGAGACAATTGCTCATCTGTTCCTGGCAGCTGGAGCCGGGGAGAGAGGACGTGTTCACGGGGAGTGATCTCTCTGCCCAAGGACCTCCGTGTACACGCTTTTAAGTGCACACCGGGCCTGGGCAGAACAAAACCAGCACTAGCTGTACAACCTGATTTTACTATCTTAACCAAAAATACGGTGATGATGAATTTTATAAACGGAGAAGCTGTATTTAACATCTGTAAGGTAATCCCGTGCCAAGCATTCATGCCGTGCTCTTTTAGACCGCACGCGGTTAAAAATGCTTAAAATAATTGCAATTACGTTCAACTGAATACCGGCTAGTTTGCTTCTTTTTAAGAGAGGCCATGCACTCATCGGTCCTTCAAACTCGAAGCATTCGGGTATGTTTAATTACTAACAAAATGATCAGATTCAGGCTAGAGATTCTATGACAAGTTTAACCCAAAGCCGTTTCAGAAGCACTTCCTGGTATTTGCAACAAATTTGTAATTATAGGCCAAACTGATTAAAAACGGGCTTTTGCGAGGTTGAGCTTAATGGGGTTAATCATGGGGTCTGGCTTAGTGATTATCAGCAACGTTATTGATCTCGGTGCCTGGAGAATTTTCTACAGGTTTGCTTTAAAGGAAGCTACAAGTAGAATGTTGGAAAACCTCAAATAACTGGTGCTATTCGTTCTAGGAACTATTTGACAAAAATGTGCATTTCAAACGAAGAACTGAGAACGGGGATAAAGCAGGAGTGATAAAGAGGTGACGAGCCATAGCCAGTAGAAAGATGTGTTATTTGAGCCACATGTTGTTTTAAAAATTTTGAATTCACTGCTAGAAGTTAAGTAAAATGTCAGCTTTCACCTACAAGGCTGGATTTCCGCCTCTCACGGGCGGTCGCCTGACCCTCACACGTATGCAGTGCCCGTGCACCACGCGGATGGGTGCCGATGGCAGAGAGTGGGATGCACAGACAGTTGTCTGTCAGAATCAGACGGTGTAAGATTTCGCAGTTCAAAACAGAATTCATTTTTCCTTCTGCCTTCAACGGGGCTCTCTGCACTCACAGCTTCTCCTGAGAGCAGACACGGGCGTTTTCAGGCAACTTGCTCACATAAGCTATAACCTCACCCGCGCTCAACTCCCACTGGAAAGCCAAGGTCGCAAGAACAAACCGTTCTGATTCCAGAGGAGGAAACAGCAGCGATGAGAAAGTGGGTAGTCCTGAGGCTGACGTTTCCCGACCTCTGCAGAAATCCCCGTTATTAGCTTCCCCCCACGGGAAGCACAATCATGTCAAGGTGTTCTGATCCGTGGGCACCATCACCCTTACTCTCAAAGAAGAGCACTTATCAAAGAATCAATTTAAATGTAATTAATGTCAACTGTAGCTTCTCGTTGCCCGTGGTAACTGCTCTTTGAAGTGACTGCCAGTCCACCCACTTCCCCCATCAGCCTGGGCCGAATCATCACTATTCAAGGAGCCCGGGGAAGGCACCGGGAGGCGGGTCTGCATAGAGATGGGTCTGGCATGCTTCTCCAAGCTGCCTCCTTCTTTTTCTTTTTTCTTTTTTTAAAGTATCATCAGCTGAGCATATTTTTCATTGATTTTTGGAAAGAGCTGCGAGGGAGGGTGGAGAGAGGGAGAGGAACATTGATGTGAGAGAGACACATCAATTGGTTGCCTCCCACACGTGCCCTGACCAGGGCTGGGGCTTGAGCTTGCAACCGAGGTACGTGCCCTTGACCAGAATCGAACCTGTGACTCTTCAGTCCAGAGGCTGATGCTCTACCCACTAAGCCACACCAGCCACGGTGGCCTTGTTCTTGAGCCCACCGGCCCTCACACGTTTCTGCTCAGAAAGGCTCTAAAAGAATTTTGAAAATTTGTGTGCCCTTGAACACAGATTTAAATTCATTTCTAGGAAATGAAAACGAAATATTTTCATCAGCCTAGACAGCTACAAAATAGGAAATCTTCAAATCTATTAGAATTGTCGAGGTTTTAAAATAAAACGATTATCTTAAAAATGCATCCAGGGCACTCTGACTACCATGCTGAGTTGCCATGGGGACGCCCCCCCACCAACATGGCGCGCTCCTCTTCACTGTGACCGTCCCTGTCCTTGAAGCTGTGCCTCCAGCCCATGTCCTCACAGAACCTCACCGCGACGGAGACGTTTCTATACCCGAAGTCTTTTTAGCGATCACTCGATCCCAGGTCTCCGAAGAGACGCAGGTCTGCAAGCTGATATGTAAATTAAATGGCTATCTAAGTGGTTTTGTGTGTGTGTGTCCAAGTGTTTAAAAAAGCCCTGAGGTTATGCGAACTACATGTGCCATTGGTAAGAACACGCATCATACGGCTGGATCACGTACTAACACAGAGGAAAGACTGGCCTGGAAGCGCGTATCTGCAGGAGCCGGGGAGCTTTGCGTGGATTGGCTCCTGCGGCCCGGCTGGAGCCACAGGACCAGCGCCTCCGCCCTCTCCACCCTCTCCGCCCTCAGACCAGCTGCTGAGGATCCCGTTCACAGGTCCCATTATCACCTCCCTGGGACACAATGCTAAGAAGTTATTCTTACTTGTTAGGTCTGATGTACTGTAATGACGTATTTTTTAAAGTCCTTGTTCTTTAGGGGTATATGTTAAGCGTGGAGAGAGTGACCATGTCTGGGAGGGAGCTAGCAGTGAATGGATAGGCTGGTCAGGAGGTGGTGACGACAGCTGGATGACAGGTGCATGACGCACACATTCATGGCTCCGCTCTCTCTCCCCCCGTGCGCGTACGGTTCAGGTTCCCCACAATAAGAGCAGACAGAGAGCTGCAGGCAGAGCTGCGGACGTGGCTGCGGCTCGGTGCAGGGAAACGCCTGCCGCACACTCTGACCCGCAGCCCAGGCCGAGCCGTCTCTCCGCCTCCACATGGAGTGATTCTGTCTGACGGAGTCTGACCTCATTTCTCCGTTCACATACGTGTGCGACGATGCAGCTCCGGGAACGTTATGAAAACTGCCGAGCCGAGGACTGACTATAGAGCGCAGGCAGATTACCCAAAGCAGCCGATGTTAAAACAATGAAACCAGCAGGAGGGATGGACAATTAGTATTGATATTACATTCTTTTTAATTGTCACCTGAGAGTTCCCCCCTCACCGTCCCCCACTAATTTCTAGAGAGAGTGGAAGGGAGGTAGGAGGGGGAGAGAAAGAGAGAGAAACCTCAATTGGTTGCCTCCCCCACACACCCCGCCAAGGGCCGGAGATCACACCTGCCACCAGTGTGTGTGCCCTTCACAGGGAACGGACCCTGCTCTCCCCGTTCAGATGAGCCAGCCACGGCCAGAACCAGTTTTAAAAGCTACCGTTTTTCAAGAATCATCAGAGAAGCGAAATCTAATGTAGAATCCACTGGGAAATAAGCTATGCGGCTGTCACATGACACAGCAGGTGGGTTTCCTGTGCCCAGGAGCAGGGCCACGGAGATGCTGGACGGGTCCCTGCGCAGCCCCAGCCCCAGCCCCAGGAACACTCGCAGCCTCGCGGTGGCAGGAGTGGCCCGTGCAGCCCCCTCCCCACGCCCACGCCCACGCAGGCCCCCCCCCCACCTCACACACACCCCACGCACACGCAGCCCCTGGCCACGAAGGCAAAGCGGGACCTCCCCGCTGGCCTGTGGACTGGGCTCTTCCGGGCGCCTCTCAGAGTTTGGGGGTAACAGGCTCTGGCTCAGGATTCACAGTAAGCCTTTCACAGGTCACTATGAATAGCAGCAAGACACCCACGGTCTTTACGCAAACCTTTGGAGAGAGTGACAGGATGTGCGAGAGCTTTCCTTCATCACACCTTGAACTTTTAGCAACTGACTCATCTGTGAACCGCATCTCAAGCCCTGACCGCAAAAACACCCGACCTGGCCGCCGCACAGCAGAGCCGTCATGGTTCCCGGGCCGCGGGCAGGCAGAGGCTCCCGGGGGTGTCTGCGCGCTGGAAGGCAGGGGTAGGCCCGTGCTCGGTGCTCCAGAGCCAAAACCGGCCTCATTCGCAAATCCCCCTCCGCGGTTCCATTCTCAGACACAACAGGAATCAGCCGGGTTGAACAGGCCGGTGAAAAACGCCTTAGGAACTCTGCGTCAGGACAGCTCTATGTTACGCCTAGAGGAACTGTGACGAACATCTTAGAATTGGCCCGGCCGGCGGGGCTCAGTGGTTGAGCATTGACCCAGGAACCAGGAGGTCACGGTTTGATTCCTGGTCAGGGCACAGGCCCAAATTGCCGGCTTGATCCCCACAATGGGATGTGCAGGAGGCAGCCGATCCATGATTCTCTCTCATCATGGATTCTATGCCTCTGGCCCTCCCTCTCCCTTCCTCTCTGAAATCAATAAAAATACATTTTAAAAAAAGATCTAGAACTGCAAGGCTCCAGAGGGTTCCGGGAGCACAGCTGCCAGGATGGGAGGAGTCCTCGCACACCACCGGCCAGGAGAAGTGCACACGGAGGGCCCCAGGGCAGAGGGAGGGAATGTTTACTCTGACGGGCCGCCATTGCTCACCGAACAAATAAAAGGAAAAGGAAGCAAGGGCATCACTGAGCCGGGGAGCTAGCGACGGAGGCGGAGAATCAAAGCTCCCTGCAGAACAGCCCATGACTCAGCACCAACCCGGCCCGGCAGCTGGTCCCCGGCGCCCAGAGGGCGGGAGCCGGGCTCGCCAGTGGTGCGTGCAATCGGCTCACAGATACATGGTCCCCGTGGGGCTAATACCAACCATGGGTTACAGGGTAATAATCACTCAGTTTACTCACCCTCCTATCAGGATCTGTGGCTGGCTGGCTTCATGCGTGACGCCAAACACATCAGGAATCAAATCACCATTGAAGCTGAAAAGGAAACACGGGGCAGCGATGTTATCCAACTCTCTGCCTGGCTTTAGAAGGAGAGACCCGGGCGGTGTGGAGACATCAGGATGCTCACAGCATCTGCCACGTCCGGGAAGCGCCAGCTGAGGGACGGGGTCACCTCCAGGCAAAGGGTTTGGCTGTGGTAACCAGACGCTCAGCCCCCTGCCATGGCCACGAGGAGAGCACGTGACTCAGAGTCCAGCCGCACAGACGGCCAGGCCCGGACAGCCGGGGTGTCTGGGTGACGGCCCAGAGCAGAGCCCACCATGACCCGCGCGGGGTGAGGGCGAGAGGACCAAACCCGTGCTCTGACCCTGGGCTGCCTGCCCCCTCTGCCTGATCTCGCCCATCCCCCAGGAGACGGAGATGCCATGTACGGCTGAACGTGATCCAACCTGTTCGGTCGGATGGACTTGGGAGGATAACCGGCTGGTATCAAAGTCCAAAGTGTCCGCCGAAGGCTGCGATAACAACGAAAACACGCAGCAACGGGAGAAATCCAGCTGCGTGCCGAAGGAGAGGAGTCCACGGGTGTCAGAACTCTGGTGGCCACTGACCCGCTGATATTGACGGTGACTTTCATAAGGATGGAAGGACAGAGTGGCCCAGGCTGCCTGTCCCCCAGTGATCTCCACCGCGTTACCAGCAACCCTGACTCTGTTCATTTTATCCCTGTCCGGGTCTGTCCTGAGGAAATGAGCGCTAACACTGAGGAAGAGCTGTAAAAAAGGACACAAGTTTCTCCTAAATGGAAAAACCCGTGCAAATCACTGGAGGAAACCCTGTACCCTGGATATCCTTCCGTGACGTAGTAATAGTTTTACCCAAAAGCAATTCTCTTAATTCTCTGATTAATGATATGGCTGGAATAACCCTGGATTCGTAACAGACACAATCAAAACGACTGACACAGAAAGAAAACACAAATGTCCTTTTCTTTCAAAAATACTGAATTTCGTTTTCCTCTTTCCTTCATCATGGCCAATAAACACCGTATCACCGAGGCCAGGCTCCTCTCAGCTTTAAAGGGAGAATGAATTTAGTGTCAATACTACTTGATTTCAGAGAAGAAGGAGAGGGAGAGAGAGAGAGAGAAACGTCAATGATGAGAGAGAACCATGGACCGGCTGCTCCTACACGCCCCCCCACTGAGGATCAAGCCCACAACCCAGGCATGTCCCCTGACTGGGAATCGAACTGTGACCTCCTAGTTCATAGGTCGCTGCTCAACTGCTGAGCCACACTGGCCGGGCAGTAGTTTTTTATGTGAAAAATGTTATGTTATGTTTGTAAGTTTAAAATGACTCAAAGGGAAGCAAACGCATACTTACTCCATAATCAGAGGTTCATCTTGGAAAGTCCTATTGAGCATGGTCATGTTGTGAGGGTCTGCGAAGAAAGCACACACACAGGTATAGGCGCTCTGCGTTGCTTTCTATAGCTTCCCGTAGGAAAAGAGAGTCTTTCCGTCATTTTTCAAGATCCGTCTCTAACGAATTCCAACTCTTACCACCACGGAGACACTCAACCAGCAAACTCATTAGTCCAGAGCCAAATATCAACAGGACGATGGAAATTTCTTTGGAGAGCCAATTTTTTTTTTTAAAACTTAAACTTCTTCTAACGCCACTTCTTCAACATAGACTCGCCCAGGCCGTGGTATTTTGTGGAAGAGCCACACTCAGGGGGCCAAAGAGCCGCATATGGCTCTCGAGCCACAGTGTGCCGACCACGGCTCTAAACAGAACTCAAACCGACAGCCGGTTTGTGAAGACAAACCACCAGGCGATTCATGCCACAGGGATGACCGGCCCGACCCTAACTTCCACTTGCGCTCCCCTCGCCCCACCGCACGGGCCTCCTCCTTCAGGTCCGCGCTGCTGGGCGGCCTCTGAAGCAGGAGGGTCCGGTCCTCACCCCCACGTGACAGACAACACCATGGCCCCTCCGGAGCAGAGCTGCCAGCTACGCCAGGAGGAACTGGAGCTCAGATGAGACTGGAGGGGCTGGGAGGGGACATGGCCTCTCAACCCTGCTCCGCCCTCACAGCGCATCCGTGGGCAGCACGTCTCAGCCAGCCCAGCACCGAGCACCGAGGCCCCCCCCCCACTCCGTGCTGTGGCAGGTGTGCGGGGCCTGCAGGTCTCTTGGGGGCTGATCACCGCACTGTGAGTCTCAGGGGGCAGGTGCGGGCACCAGTGGGCGGGGCAGAATCCCAGTGGGCGGGCACAGTGGCGTCTGGGCAGGTGCTGTGCAAATGGTCCCTTTCTTGAAGTCTTTGGGGATTGTTCCAGAGAGTTCAACCTACAGTGTGCTCTTCAGCCATCAATACCCTCTAATAAATCTCCTTAGCTATCCAGACTGAGTTTTGTTCTCTGGAACTGACCTCAGAACAGGTCTAGGTTGAGAATGAAAAATCAGAAATGGACTTTTTTTTTTTTTTTTTTTTTTATAAACAATCACTGACTCTCAAGAACTGCAATATAAAAAAAAAACACCTGACTTCGGAACAAATTTTTGCTACATAAGAATACCCTTCCTCAGCCCCTGGTAAATGGTAAAAACTCCCAGGACAACTCACCTAAGGTCTGGTTTTTCCCCCAGACGATGACAGCGCCTAGCCCACCGTCCACATGATTCTTGGGGAGATACGTCAGCAGCACGTCCATCTGCGAGTCCCCGTCGTAATCCCCCGGCACCACGCCCGTGATCAGGGCGCTGTGGTTCCTGCGGAGACAGGCGCGTGAGCCACCGGCCGGGCTCCGAGAGAAAGCACGGCCCTGTGGATGCGCCGCGCCCGTCCCGCTGCAGAGCCGGCTCCCTGCGTGCTCTGCCCGTATCTCAGCATCCCTGTGTCCTAGGCCCCTTTGGCCTACAGAGGCATTCAGGATGAATGCAGGGTGGTTTTCACAAACAAGACTGTGCCCAGCCGGTGTGGCTCAGTGGTTGAGCATCGAGGCAAGAACCAAGAGGCCACTGATGGATTCCCGGTCAGGGCACAAGCCCAGGGTTTGGGGCTCGATCCATGTGTGGGACATGCAGGAGGAAGCCGGTCCATGATTCTCTCCAATCATGGATTTTTTTTTCTCTCTCTCTCTCCCGCTTCTTTCTTATCTGAAGTCAATAAAAATATATTTTTTAAAAAAAGAGAAAATAAGAACAAAGGTCACTGATCTTTTCTCCAGTGCAAAGGACTCCCTCCCCTCAGCTCCCACCTCCCCTTCCCAAACACGGTGAACCTGACAAGCCTGTGAGCGAGCTGCTCCCAGGACCCTCAGGGTCAGGGTCAGGGGCAGGGGCAGGCCGTCCCAACACACGCGGGAGAGCAGATTAGACAGCAAGGTAATGAGAGGGGATTGCCGGGTCAGACCTGGACCCAGCGACTTCTATTTCCTTTCAAAGTGAATCATTTGCAACCTTTGCTGCAGCCACTATTTCTCCAAACAAATGACCTCCGATGCAGACCTCACCACCATTGGTTCTGTGCCAGCGTCACAGTTGGGTGCCGCGGAATGCAAAGACTACCCAACCAACGACCGCCTATCCCTCACGACAGTGATGACCGTTACGGGGAAACACATCCCTGTGGACTTACTTCAGGGAAACCTTCACTTTGGGTTTGAAATAGGGCGCGTTCTGGTCCGCCAGGAAGACGATTAGATCATTTTCTAAAAGGAGAGAACAGGGTGTCAGAAGAAGGCTCCAGTCCGTGTTCACAGGCCTTTCCCCGGCACCTTCTCAACAAGAAAGCTTTCCTTTGGCCCCAGGTCACCTGCCCTTTGGAGGTCAGCCCCTGAGTCTGACGGAGCGGAGAGCCCTAGGGTCCATCACCAATCCACAGTCCAGGGGGGGGGTGGACATGGGAAACGCAGCCAGACAAGAGCAGGGGAAGGACTCCGCCAGAAGTCGGATCGGTCGCCTTAAATAACGTGCCTCATGACTACACGTCAGCCCTGTCCCCCCAAACCTGACCCTGGGGCCCCTTGTGAAGGCTGCTGAGTCCGTCGGACGCATCACAGGAAGGACACGGGATTCCAGGGCTCTCATAAGAACACGGGTACGTGTTGAGGCAGAACAAGCCAAATCCTCCCAGATCCTCCTCTTGGGGCTCCCACGGCCCCTTCTCCAGGCCGAGGCAACGTTGGAGCTCAGCGAGCAGCCCCTGGCACGGACTTTAGGGACTCCAACCCGAGCCACCTTGAACGTGGCAAGACCAGGCTGTGCCCAGTTTGCAGGGAGTAGCCACAGGTGCGGGAGCCTGCACCCTTCCTGCAACATACGGGGTCCCACAAAGACAGGGGAAGCATCCGGGTCCGCAGGAGGTCCTGGGCCTGGCAGGGGCCCCAAGAAATCGAAATCTGGGCCGGGATCCCATCTGTCATAAGCCCTTCATTCCCGTCTTCCTGGCCTTGACCTTAAACACCTGGTCCTATGGGTTCTTGAGGATGCCACGACCCCGTAAGGACCATGGTCGGCATCGAGATTTACAAAAACTTTGCGTAGCGATGGTGAGAGCAAGGAGCTCCCAAGAACCCCAGGCAGGTTGGCAAAGAGAGCAATGGCATGGAAGACAGGAGCGTGACCCACGCACACAACAGGCCCGAAGGCTCCGGAGGGGGTGAGTTGGCGCGCGGACGGCCCTTTCCCAGGGGGTTTAGCAGCCGCCCATCGGCTGCGGAGAGGGGAGGGCGCTGGAGGGGCCGGTGAATGGGGCGCACAGGGAGGCGGGGAGAAGCCCACTGAGCAGAGATGTCAGGGTGCATCTCCCAGGTGACAGGGGAAGGAGGAGGGAGGGGGAAGCAGGAAGGAATGGGGCCTGGGAGGAGCGCAGGCCCACACTCCTGGGGACCAGGAAGGACTCGGAAGGCAGGGGACCCCAGGGAGGAGGAGGGAGGGCCGGCCTCTGGGGGGAAACTGGGGTGTCTGCAGGGCCGTGGGTCAGACCACAGTGTGGGGGACCCCGCCAGGACCTGGGAGGGTGGGGGGAGATGGAGGGAGGCAAGCTGTCAGGGGTCTGGGGGGAAGGGGAGAGGGTCTGGGCTGGGGGAGAGGGCCCGGGCGACCCAGGGCCCAGCCCGCGGGCAAGGAAGGGGTGAGGGGGCCCCCGGGAGGACACGGGGCGCGGCCGAGGGGCGGCGGGCACTGACTTTCTCGCAGCACGAAGAGGTCCGTCTGCTTGTCGGAGTTGAGGTCCCCGAAGGCCGCCACGGTGCCCCAGGCCTCGGCCCCGAAGAGCTCGGCCGTGACGTTGTGCAGCGCCCCCGCCGGCGCCGGCCCGACCCCCAGCCGCGCGAGCGCCCCGAGCAGCGGCGCCAGCAGCGCCCACAGGCCCGGCAGCCGGCCCGCCGCCGCCATGGCCGCCTCGGCCCCGCCCGCCGCCGGCCGCCGCGCTTGACGGCAGCCGTAAAGCGCCGCCGCCGCCGCCCCGGCCGCAGCCTCCGCTCCGCCGCCCGCCCGGCCCCGCCGCCGCCCCGGCCCGCCGCCCCCGCCCCGCGGCCCGCCCTCCGACGGTCGCGAGGCCGCGGCTCGGGGCGGCACCGGCCCGCGCGCTCACTTCCGGCCGGCGTCCTCGCGACAGTGTCGCGCGCGGGGGGCGGGGCCTGCCGGCGAGTTGACAGGCGGCGGCCGGGGGTGGCGGGCGCGACGGCCTCCCCGGCGCGATGGCGGGGGCGGCGGGGCTGATGGCCGAAGTGAGCCGGACGGTCCTGGAGCAGAGGGCCCGGGCCAAGCGCTCAGGTTTGCGGGCCGGGGCGCCCCCTCCCCCGATCGCCTGGGGCGGGGGGCAGCGGGGTCCGGCGCGAACCCCTGCCCGCCGCGGGCCCCTCAGAAAGCGGCCGGCGGCCCGGCCTTCCGCCCGAGGTCTCTCCCCCCACCCCCCCTTAGAAATGAGGGGGTGCTCTAACGTGACCCCTAGGTGACCCCCAGAAACCAGGCGGCGCCCACGTTCCTGGTTAGGAAAGGCCTGATGAGGGTCCCTCCCCCAAGCCGGTGGCTGCACCCCTCCCCCCCTCACCCCCGACGTGAACGGAACCGCTCGCTGCCTCATCTCACACCTGCTTCCTGCCTTCTCTCTCTCTGCTGGCTGCCTTATTGCACATCCCTCTTTGCACTCCTCCCCGAATCCTGAGCCCCAGCCATGGTTATCTTGGCGGCAAAAATGTTGGGGGACAGGGCCCAGGCCACGAAGAGGGTTCCGGGGAGCACAGTTAGGGCTCCTAAGGAAGCGGGTGCCCTCCCCAGGCGAGGGGCCCCCGGGTGCGCCCACCCCAGGCCGTGCAGGCAGCCCCAGCAGCTCCAGTGTCCTGAGCTGACGCCTTCAAATTGCACAGTCACGACCCTGCAGCCGGGAGCCAGGGCTGAGCGCCCCGAGCGGAAAGTGTGCCTGTAAGCAGGACGGAGAGGGGGTTCCCCGCTCACCCCACAGCCTTCCCTTTGGAAGGGCCCGGGTCGCTACAGGTCGGAGCTGGGAGACGCTAATGTGAGCGTGGCTCATGGGAGAACAGAGGCATCGGTGTTCAGAACGCTTTTGCCTCCGCCAGCATGGTGCTCCGGCGCCGCGTTCTTGCCGTGCGTGACATTCTTCGTTGTCTCCTGTTGGATGGATGCTCTCTGGCCACAGAGAGGAACCGGGTTTATTTCCGCAGGGAGCTGAGCTCTGCCCTCAACATGTTTTCAAAGCATCTCTCTCCCTTTCCTAAGCACGTGTGTGTGTGGGGGGGATGATTTTCTTCTCATCTTTATTTCCTCTGAAATGCATGTCGTAACCGTAAGCTCTGAAGACCTACCTTCTCTTTCTTAACCGAGAGGGAACGTCCCAGTTTTATTTAACCCCATGGAATGCAGCCACGTCCGCCCCGTTTCACGTGCAAAACGGCTCGGTGCATGCTCCAGGCATCGCCTGCTCCCTTGCTTGCACGGCGGAGGTAGGAGAGGTACCCCTCAAAGTTCTTGCTCCCCGTTAGGGTTAGGGTTAGGGGTTAGGGTTGGGCTGGGGGTTGGGAGTTGGGGGTTAGGGTTAGGGTTAGGGGTTAGGGGTTAGGGTTAGGGTTAGGGTTAGGGATTAGGGTTAGGGTTAGGGTAAGGGGTTAGGGTTAGGGTTAGGGGTTAGGGTTAGGGGTTAGGGTTAGGGGTTAGGGGTTAGGGTTAGGGGTTAGGGGTTAGGGTTAGGGGTTAGGGTTAGGGTTAGGGTTAGGGGTTGGGGGTTAGGGTTAGGGTTAGGGGTTAGGGTTAGGGGTTAGGGGTTGGGGGTTAGGGTTAGGGGTTGGGAGTTAGGGGTTAGGGTTAGGGGTTAGGGGTTAGGGTTAGGGGTTAGGGTTTGGGTTAGGGGTTTGGGTTAGGGTTAGGGGTTAGGGTTGGGGTTAGGGGTTAGGGTTAGGGTAAGGGGTTAGGGTTAGGGGTTAGGGTTAGGGTTAGGGGTTGGGGGTTAGGGGTTAGGGTTAGGGGTTAGGGTTAGGGGTTGGGGGTTAGGGTTAGGGGTTGGGGGTTAGGGGTTAGGGTTAGGGGTTAGGGTTTGGGTTAGGGGTTTCGGTTAGGGTTAGGGGTTAGGGTTGGGGTTGGTGTTGGGGTTAGGGGTTAGGGGTTAGGGTTAGGATTGGGGTTTCAGCGTCTTCTGCTGACTCTGAAGGAGCACGAGACTCTGATGCTTCCTGAGTGAACCATCGACGTCCTGTGTCACTAAACACAACTCGCCCGGGGCCTGTTGCTTTTAGAAATTAGTAGGACCCGAGCTTTGTCTGCAGCGTGGGCTACCCCGGCTCTGGTGGCGAGGTCCCCGCAGAGTTCTGAGCATTGTTACATAGCCGCCTGGTCACGTGATGCGCCATCAGTGGACAGTACCTGTTCCTGCCCAACCCACACAGGCCACCCGAGCGCCAGGCGCTTTTTCCAAAAATCATAGAAAGAGCACACAATGGTAACGAACGTTGATTGACGGCCTTCGTCGCGCACAGCATCCTGGGTTAATACCTGCTCACCCTGCTTCCAATGATCCTAACCGTGATTGCTTCTAACCCCCACTAAACAGCTGTGGACATGGCTGTGGTTTAGCCTGTGACGCTTGTGGTCAGAGGCAACCATTTGACATGGCCAGCCCGCCTGACTCGGCCGCCTCGTCTCCCCGAGCCTTCTTAAGGTCTGGTAAGTGTGGAGCGCGCCCCCCCCGGGGGGGGTAGTTTTACTTCCCTTTGTTTCTGAAGTTTGATGTCGCCGTATGATGGCCTTTGGGTGGTGTGCCCTCTGGCGGGCCCACGCCCGCACACCGTGGTTCCAACGGATATATAAGAAGCTTCTTAAATGATTTTTGTCTTCTCGCGTCACGGAAATAAGTTTGCTAGAGTTAGAAGTTTTCAGTCAGCGTCCCAATTACTATTATTATTTAAAAAATTTTTTTTATTGATTTTTTTTTTTTTTTTTTTAGAGAGTAAGAGAGAGGGACAGTGGGCTAGAAACATCGATCAGAGAGAAACTTTGATCAGCTGCCTCCTGCATACATCCTACTGGGGATGTGCCCGCCACCAAGGTACATGCCCTTGACCGGAATCGAACCTGGGACCCTTCAGTCCGCAGGCTGATTCTCTATCCACTGAGCCACACCATTAGGGCCTGGGTCCCAGCATGGGCACGTTCACACGTTCTCAGTCAGGAAGGGGAAGCTCCCTTGGTGATGAGAGGAAGCAGCCGGCCCAAGTCCTGAGACGTGGGCTTCACAGCCACACGGTGCGCTTGGCAGGAGGGCGGGGGGCGAGGTGGGCACTGTGGCTCTGAGACGGTCGTGGTGCTGAGTCCCCTTGCCAGCTGGACGGGGCTGTGGAGCTCCCCCCATGGGTGTTGAACAGGTCAGAGGAGGGTCACGCCTCCAGGAAGGACCCGTCGGAACCCAGGCCTGGGGTGCGGCCAGGGAAGGGGCCGAGGCCCGACGTGAAGGCTGGAGCCCTTGGGCTTTCCGGGAGAAGCCTGCGGCCAGCGTGTGCTCTGCACCTTAGGGACCTTAAGCAGAATGACCACGCCTCGGTGGGGCTCAGGGATTGAGCATCGACCTATGGACCAGGAAATCACGGATCAATTCCTCGTTGGGGCCCAGGCCCAGGTTTCGGGCTTGATCCCCAGAGTGAGGGGTGCAGGAGGCAGCCGGTCCGTGATTCTCTCTCATCATGGGTTTCTCTCTCTCCCTTCCTCTCCGAAATATAATATGTATGAGAAGAACGTCTAACCCTCAGGACCCATCACTAGGTGAATGTGGGACGAGCCAGCCAAAAAGTGACCGTGAACGTTCCGTTTTCTCTGTAACCGTTTATTTTCATTTACGTTTCACATCCTGGTCTGGCACCATGGAGGAGAAAGGTCTTGGGGTGTGTGTGGGAAGGGAAGAAATAAGAAATAGCTCAGGGGAAGATTCATTCCCGGGAGATAAAAGAGCTTCTGCCTTGAGGAAGGAAAACAATTCTTGCCTTCAGTGGCCACCCGCTGAGTGACACGGCATTGCCAATATTCGACGTCTGACTTAGTCTTTGAACTGAGTGAGCAAGAGGACATCCGTCTCTCCGTCTCTCCATCCGTCTGTCTGTCTATCTTCGGGCTTTGTCTTCCTTCTTTCCCACTTTGGCGGGCCGGCAGGAGCTGGGGCATTTGCAGGTCTCGCCGTTACGGGGAAATAGAAATGCTAACTCTGAGACAGGCTTTCCCGCCTCGGCAGTCCTGGAAGTTCCACTCCTCCCAGCGGCTGTGACATTGCACAGCGCACACAGGAGGCTCTCCCAGCGCCGCGCCGTTACACGGAAACAGAACGCGGCGAGCGCAGAACAGAACGAGCCCCCGTCCCCGCCACTGGCCCCTGCATGACTCTCCCTTAGCCTGGGCTCGCGGCGTGGATGCTTCCTGGAGGGGCCTCTCCCCGGGGAGGAGGGAGGACTCCGAAGTCAGTCCCGTGGGAAACGCCCGTCTGTCACAGTAGGGCCACAGGGGCGCAGGTGCAGCCGGTGGCTCCCTCAGAGATGCCGCGTTTCTGTTGGGAACGATCGTTTCCCCACGGCAGCTCCTCGGAGGCGAGTGTCTGTGGCGCCATTGAACGGCCCCGCTGTTCCTGGCCCAGGAAAGCCGGGGTCCTGCTTCTGGAAAACCCCTTCCCAACGCACCCAGATGGTTTAGTGTGTTAATCCTCTCTGTCCCTCTGAACGGCCTGCGGTTCTGTCTGTGTCTGCACTTTCTTGGCTGCAGTGTGTCCTGCATTCCGTGCGGGGCTTGTGTGTGCTCGGACTGCTAATGCGTCCGTCTGATGTGGCTGAGGATGGCTGCTCCGTGCAACCGCTGGAACCCCGAGAGAGAGCTGAAGGTCCAGCTTCCTTCCATCCGTCCCTCCCTCCTTTCCTCCCTCTCTTCCTCTTCCCTCCCTCTCCCTCTCCCTCTCCTTCCCTCGCTCCCTTTCTCCTCTCCCTCCCCTTTCCTTCCTTCCTCTCTCTCTCCCTTTCTTTCTTCTCGGATTAATTTTAAGATTTCCCATCACAGATGACACACAATGTTATATCAGTTCCAGGTTCACAGTGTTGTGATGAGACTGTATCTTTTTGAGACTTGGTTTCCTTGTCCATAAAAATAAAGATAATAATACCCCCCCCCCCCAAGATATTGTTGCAAGGATTAAATAAGATGCTATATATGTAAGACACACTTGATGTTAAGGAGCTGGCCAGTACATTTAAAATATGTTCTTATCTTTCCTAAAAACACCTGCCCTGTCCAGTATTGCTGATGTGTATTCAAGAGCGGGGATTACCCAAACCGACCCCGAGTGCTTCTTTCCTTCCCTCGTTTTGGCGTCTGCCCTCTGAGCAGCCGCTGGAGTGAGAAGAGTGTCATGTGAGATACAGCCAGCTCTGGAGGCGGCGGCGCCGTGCCTGCCTGGCCCTCCCCTGCTGACCGCTTGGCATCAGCTCCCGTCTCCTACAGGGCTGGCGGTTGGGGGGGCCTGGCTGAAGGCCTCTCTGGAAGGGGCGTTTGAGCCGAAGGAGGAAGTGGGGGTCACAGGAGACCTCGGGGTGCGCGCTAGGAGAGGACTTTGGGGTGGAGCGAGCGGCACAGGGGGAGCTCCGGGAGGGTCAGGGGGCAGGGCCGGCCGAGGGGTGCTGCGGTGGGTTACGGGGTGCGCGTGGGAACCTGGGAACCGGGGAGGAGCCTGGAGGAAGGAGGCCCTGCTCAGGCTGCAGGCAGGAGGGGGCTGCCCTGGGTGCCGTCCCAGGCCCTCCCGCTCCCCAGCCCGCTTATTTCACAGGGGCTGTCAGGACTCCCCTCTGCGCGGCTGTGCGTGGTGTTCTGCTGGGCATCGGTGGCGGGGGTTTTCATCATCCCCACGGGCTTTCTCTCCGCTTCGATGGGGGTTTTCCCATCCCAACGGAGGCCCTTTTAAATGCGGCTCGTCTCAGCGAGTTGTCTTAGACCTATAGGTCACCTTCCTATTAAACCTCTTCAAGGCGGCCTGCCGGGAGCAGGGGCGATTCTGGTCAAGGTCTCTAAACAGAGGCGTTCACAAGGAGAGCTGTTTTCTTAGCTTCCATAGTTCGGAGGGTAATTATCTTTACTTTGCTGTGAATTTTTATCTGCTGTTTCTATCAGTTCAGAGATCCTTGTTCACAGGGAAATGCATCGCGAAGCTCAGTTAATTTGTTATACCCACTTAATCCTGATTCTCAATAGGCTTGTAGCTTCGATAATTATCATTTGTTCAATAACCGCCAGGATAAAAAAAAAAAATCCTGGCAGGATGGAGGGTGAGTTATAATAATCTAAAGGAATAAAAGCCATCTGAGGATTAGACGGGGTCCTCGGAGTCTCTCCTGTCGCGTCCCACTGAGCTGTGCTGACTCTGGTGCCCAAGACCTGCACTGAGCTGTTTATTCCACCGCTCCAGTCCTTCCTGCGCAGCCCTCCTCTCTGGCACCCGGCTCTCACTGCCTTTTTAAGAAACACACGTTTTTATTGATTTTGAGAAAGGAAGGGAGAGGGAGAGAGAGAGAACCATCGATTGGCTGCCTCCTGCACACACCTGACTGGGGATGGAGCCGGTAACCTGGGCCCGTGCCCTGACTAGGAGTCAAACTGTGACCTCTCAGTGCCTGGGACAGCGCTCAAGGCGAGGCCGCCATCCCACCTTAATGCTGTAACCACAGAGACCCCCTGTCGCCGCTGGCCTCTTCCTGGCCGCCGCCCTGCGCTTTCGGAAGGCTGGGTCATGTGATGACCCCGGTGCCTCTCCATCAGCTAGAGCAGCGGTTCTCAACCTTCCTGATGCCGCGGCCCTTTCACACAGCTCCCATGGTGTGGTGACCCCCAACCATAAAACTATTTTCGCTGCTACTTCATAACTGTGATTTTGCTACTGTTAATGAATCGCGATGTAAATATCTGTGTTTTCCGATGGTCTTAAACCACCCCTGTGAAAGGGGTCGCTACCCACAGGTTGAGAACCGCTAGCAGGGTCACCTAAGATGATTTCTTACCTCCCCCTCACCCCCAACCCTCCCCAGCCTTCCCGCTGCCATTTGACAGTCTGTTCGATGCTTCTCTGACTCTGTTTCTATTCCTGATCATCAGGTTATAATGTTCTTTATTGTCCATAAATGAGTGAGAACACGTGATGTTCATCTTTCTCTGACTGGCTTATTTCACTTAGCATAATGCTCTCCAGGCCCATCCATGCTGCTGCAAATGTTAAGAATTCCTTCTTTTTTACAGAAGCGTAGTATTCCCTAGTGTAGCTGGACCACAGTTTTCTAATCCACTCCTCGGCTGATGGGTACTTTGGCTGTTTCCAAATCTTAGCTATGGTGAATTGTGCTGCTATGAACATAGGGGTGCATATACCCTTTCTGATTGGTGTTTCTGTTTTCTTGGGATATATTCCTAGGAGTGGGATCACTGGTCAAATGGCAGTTCCATTTTTAGTTTTTTGAGGAAATGCCATACTGTTCTCCACAGCGGCTGCACCAGTCTGCATTCCCACCAGCAGTGCACGAGGGTTCCTTTTTCTCCGCATCCTCGCCAGCACTTGTTGTTTGCTGATTTGTTGACAGGTGTGAGGTGTGAGGTGGTACCGCATTGTTGTTTTGATTTGCAGCTCTCTCCGAGCATGTTTTTTTCATATGTCTCTTGGCCTTCCTTCTGTCTTCTTTCGAAAAGTATTGCCCATTTTTTGATTGGGTTGTTTATCTTCCTTTTGTTAAGTTGTGTGAGTTCCTGTAAATGTTGGAGATTATAAATCCTTATCGGTGATAACAGGCAAATGTGCTCTCCCTAGCGGTGGGCTTTCTTGTTTTGTTGATGGTTTCCTTTGCTATGCAGAAGCTTTTTGTTATGATGTAGTCCCATTTGTTTATTTTCTCTTTAGTCTCCATTGCCCAAGAAGCTGTAATCAATGAAGATATTGCTTTGGCATATCAATGAATACCCTATTACCTAAGCTTTAGACCGTCAGAAACACGTAGAGTAAAAGCCACCATCCTGGTGGCAGTCCTTTTTGACCCATTTGGTGTATGTCCCAAACTTTTCAAAGTATGTTGTTTATCTACATGTTCATATGCATTTGTAAAATCACACATGTAATCCTTTTTGCTTAGCTTGCAACACACTGCATCATGCTCTATGCCTTGGTCTCTGACATTACCTTTTCACACTATATTTTTTTGGTCTCTCCTGGTATTACAAACAGATCTACTTCATCCCTTCACTGTTTAAGGTATTTCGTTGAATGGAGGTGTCACCATTTATTCGTCCCCCCACCTCCCCTGCCCCACCTTGGGGGGCATATCTATTCCTTAATGTTTCAGTTCCTGTGCATGGACCAATTGGACAGTAAAGGAAATCATGGTTTGCACTTTGCTTCTTTGCTTTGCAAGGAGAGATTGGTGACCTTGGAGATGCTCAAAGTGCTGAGTCATGCTTAGTGCGTTCTGATCTCTTAGTGAAAACAGGTCTCTGTAGCCAGGAGACGCCTTTCTCAGTGTGTCTGCCTGCGGGAGTCTGCGGGCGGCCCCTGACCACAGATTCTGGGGTGTGGGGGTCGCAGACAGTCCGCACTACCCAGGGCACCCTGAGATCCTGTATACAGATGGGAGTGAGCTGCCCCAGGCGTGGCGGTTTTGAGAGACCGTTACGCAGCCACAAAAGCTGCCTGTTATCGAGGTCTTTGGCAAATGTCACATGTCCACGGCAGGTCTGAGATCTTATGTAACACTGCTACATCTGAGAAAATGTATTCAGGCCCAATGCTGCATTATCACATACTACGGTGCTGATGTTGATTTGGAAATGAAACTGCAGTTCTTTTAAGAGGAAATGGCCCATTTGAATCCCATAATTTGGGATGCTCTCTGCTTAGAATTTAGGATAAATGGATCTTTCTATTCAATATTTTGTAACCTAAAATAAAGGAGGGGCTCATTTGATCTCTTAAAAATGCACGGACTTGACTTCCTACGTTAAAGTCAGTTTAGGAAACTAATTCGCAATGCGTCTGACGCCTCAACGGGAAGGGTATTTTCTCACATAATAGAAGCGTCTCGGGACATTGGGGTGGTTCTGTGGCCCCGAGGGGCTGTCACATGCCTTTGCAAGCGGAAACCAGGCAGATCACAGGTTTGTTCTTGTGCCGGCGTCAGACCGACTCGCGCTCCCGGGCCCTGGTGGACTCGTGACCCTGAGCCGGTGGCTCTGAGCGCGCTCAGCAGCGATCGGAGGCCTTCCCCAGGCCCTGGCTGCGGGCTCCGGTTCTGTCCTGTCATTCAGCCTCAGCGCTGAGCGTGTGCGCTGGCCAGGTGAACGCTTTAGTGGCCAGTTGTCCTGGTCATGGTGACTCCTGCAGCGTGTGAGCCGTGTGCCCTGCCCTCCCGGGCGCCGGCGGTGTGAGCGGCTGGCAGGAGCCGGCCTGGCGGCTGAGCACGGTGTGGCTGCGGCGTGGGCTCAGGGCAGGTTGGCGGGTGTTTCTCAGGCGGCACGGAGACGGTTGGGTGGGTGACCGGCCCTGAGCACGGGAGCTGTTTGAGGTGGTGACGGCTGCGGGGTGAGGGGAGGGATCTCCCCACAGCCAGACCCCCGGGCTCGCTACAGGGGAGCTCTCCTCTCCCCCTGCTCCATCCAAACCCAAGCCGTAATGAGCCACGCGTGCCCCGCGGCGCGGAGTGAGATTGCTGGGAGTTTCCTGGGGCGCGGGGTGGAGGACCGGGTGACGGGCTGCTCTCCCTGCAGGCTCCGTGTACGAACCTCTGAAGAGCATCCACCTCCTGCAGCCCGACCATGAGAGCCTGTGGGAGAAGCTGGACCGTTTCTACAGGATCGGTGAGCGCCGTCGGGGCCCGCGCCTGCTCGCCGCGGGGATGCCCTGGCCGGCACGCCGGATGCCCCCGCGCTGGGAGGTCGGGGGCCGTGCTGGGCCGCTCTGTGCCCGGGCGTGGGGGGCCGGGGCTGCAGAAGGAGCCAGCAGTCACATCCCTCCCTGGAATAACTATAGCGCTGTCACCGGGCTCCCTGGTGCCCCTTCAGCCTTCCGGAACATCCCAGAGGCTTTCCTGGGGCACCTGCCCGGTTTGTGCATGTGCTGGCTGCTCATTCGCTTACGCCTGGCTCCCAGGCAGCCCTGAGCCTGGCGTAACCGTCTCTACCTCATCGAGATACAGACGTGACCTCGGGTCGCTGGTCCTCATGTGGTCCCTGTCCTTGCAGTCAAGGCCACGGTGCTGCTGTACCAGAGTCCCACCACCGGCCTCTTCCCCACCAAGACCTGCGGCGGGGACCAGCACGCCAAGGTGCAGGACAGCCTGTACTGCGCCGCGGCCGCCTGGGCCGTGGCCC